CAGCTCCTCTCAGCAGGCTGCTGCCCACCCCTCCCACACATCCCCCCACCCCCGCCAAGTAACCTGTAGCATCCTCAAGTTACTTGCAGTTCCCCAAACTTGCCAGGCTATTTAGAGCCTCCAACCTGAACAAGCGCTGTTCTCATCACCTGGTGCTCTTCCTGCCCTTGTTCACTAGTCACCTACTTCTGAACCAGTTTCTGTCATTTCCATTGCACAGCCTTCTTCAGCCACTTCAAATGATTATCTTTTTCTGCTTAACATTCATTGAGCACTTAATCTCTGCTAGGCATTGTGCCAGCCCTTAACACATATGCCCTCATTTAATCCTCACAGTCCTGGGAGGCAGGGCCTAGTGTCCACAAGTGCCAGGCTGGAGGTCACATGGCCTGAGTTCTTAGCCGCCCGGTGACACTGCCTTTTCTGGATTTCCCTCTGCCTGGCAGAGAGCACTCAGACTTGGCATAGTAGCCTGTGTGTGTGTGCACTCCTCCCCTCATCTCTGTCCTGCCCCCAAGAGGAGACAGCCCGCAAAACTTTGAAGATGTTGGAATGAGGGTCGTCATTTTTCATATCCTTTATAAACTTCTTTCATGCTCTTTTTGTTTCTCTGTGGGAATCGTTAATTGAAACTTTGTTTATAGCCATCTACATGGGCCTATTGGGCTATCTGTTGGATTTTCATGCTGTAAGTATTTTTCACTTTCTGGCCTGTGGCAGCTTACTTGGTGTCTTACTTAGTGTCATGGAGGCTGTAAAAAGGGGAGAAGACGTGACGCTTGCCCTCTGCAGAGACCACATGAGATGGAACTAGCAATTAAAGACGATACATTGAGTACTTTCACTGAGTATATGATTACATAGCATGCAAATTCTTTGGCATGGCATACAAGGCCCTTCACGATTTGATTCTGGACACTTTTCCAGCTTTGTCTGCTACTTTCCCATAGAGCCCCAAGGCCCCAACCATACTGATGTGTTTTGTGGTTCCCTGAACCTGCCATGCTTTAAATGTCTCTGTTCCTTTGCACATACTCTTCTTTTTACCAAGAATGCCTTCTCCCTCCTACCTGCCTGGTGACTTCTTATTCATGTTCTATGACAGCCTTCAGTGCAGCTTCCTTTAGACTTTTGGCTTTGGGTTTTCATGGCCTTTGTACATTTTTTTGGCAGTGTGACCCTTATATCAATTTTGTAAGTCTGTTTTGCCTGTTGAACATTGAGCTAGTTGAGGGCAAGACCTGTGTCTCAGTGATGGAAAAATGAACGAGTGACAATGAAAATTAGATATATGGAAAGGAGGGAGTGATGCTGTTCCCACACGGCTGGTTGTCCGTCAGGAATCACATTTGGCTGCAGGAACAGAGATCTGAATAAAGGGGCTTAAAGAGATTAGGGGTTCTTTCTCTCAGGTGAAACAAGTTTGGAGGCAGGTTGGTTAAGTGCTGGTGTGTGGGTGCTGCAATGTCAGCAGGAGTCTGGGCTCTGTGCCTCTGCTTGGCCACCTTTAATGCATGGCTTCCCTCCTCAAGGTAACCTCATGGCTCCAGATGGCTGCCAGAGTTACAGCCATCTCATCCATTCCAGACAAGAAGAAAGAGAAGGGCAGTGAGTAAAGAAAAAGTGTTCTCTCCATGCAGACAGACTTCTTGAAAAGATATCCAAAAGGATCCCACCCAACAGCTCCACCTGCATCCCATAGGCCAGAATGGAGTCACGTGGTCACCTCTAGCTGAGTTTTGCAGAGATAAATACATGGTAACAAATAGAGGTTATTTGTGCATTTAATTTAAAATGACATTTCTTTTAAAAAAAAACAGTTGTTCAATCTGAAAAGACTTTTCTCCAAAGAAGATATAAAAGTGGAAAAGTGGCCAATGAACACGTGAAAAGGTGCTCAACATCATTAGTCGTGAGGGAAATGCAAATCAAAAACACAATGAGGTACCACTTCACACCTTCTAGGATGGCACTGAAATCAAAAAGACAAGTGTTGACAAGGACATGGAGAAATTTAAAACCTCATACGTTACAGGTTTTGTCAAAAGAACTGTAGAATGGTGCAGCTACTTTGGAAACCAGCCTGGTAGTTCCCGAAAATGTTAAACATTGAGTTATCATATGACCCAGCAATTCCATTCCTTGGTATCAACCCAAGAGAATGAAAGCATCCATTCACAGAAAAACTTGTACCTGAATGTTCCATTGTAATAGCCAGAAAGTGGAAACAACCAAAGTGTCCAAACAATACTGAATATGGATCAACAAATGGTGGTCTTTCCATATAATGAAGTCTATGAGTGAAGCACTGATACATGCTGTAACTTGGATGCACCTCAAAAACATGATGGCAAAAGAAGCCAGTCCCGAAAGACCACATAGTGTGTGATTCCATTTATATGAGATGTCCAGAACAGGCAGATCTATAGAGGCGTATAGCAGATTAGTCGGGAGGAAGAATGGAGAGTGAGTGCTAATGGGTTTTTTGGGGGGGGTGATAAAAATGTTCTAAAATTAGATAGTGGTGATGGTTGCACAACTGTGACTATACTAAAAACCATTGTACATTTTAAAAAGGGTGAATTGTATGGTATGTGAATTACATCTCAATAAAGCTGTTTTAAAACCCAGCTTTTATCTGTTTGTAAGGCATATCTTCAAAATTAACCTCACAAGAAAGGAACTGGTAGGGGGTGGGGTGGGGTTCCTCAAACCAGTTAACATTTCAAGGATTGTATTCTCTTCTCTTCATTTGAATCCTGGCTTTAAAACAGATCTGCCCTGCATGGTCAGGGTCAGATCCCTCTGGCTGGTTGCCCAGATGACCAAGATCCTGAGTGGTCTCTTTGTTCTGTAGACTTATCATTTCAAAAACGAACCTATTTTTCTGAGTCTCCAAAGCTGAGGAATAGAGATGCCAGGGAGTCAGCAAATAGATGTAGAAAGCCAGTTTATCTGCAAACCAGCAGAATGTCTGAAGGGGTTGCTCTGTGGGACTCTTGTTCCTAGGAGATTTTTTTGCTGATGGATGGGCAGTTCAGTTGGAAGCCCGTGAGGAAGTCGCGTTGTCTTTGGAAAGGTCTCTATGCCAAGAGTCTGCAGGCAGGCAACTCCTGACCAAGAGCTCTGTCTCTATAAGCCTTTGATTCCTCATCGGGGAAACCGGAAAGATAATAGCCTTTTCACACCAGGGCAGCCGCGCTGTAAATGCTGAGGGTGTGCACCAAGGGCACAGTTCTGGAATGGCAAATTTGGGGTGGCTCCAGAGGTCACAGTTTGAAGAGTGAAAGAATGAGGATTGTCTGGCAGGAGAAGAGGGCCATGGGCGTCATGGGGAGTGGTTGTCAGGATGGAAGGTGGTAGAACTGATGACTAGAAGGCTGCGGTAGCAGGAGTTGTCAGAAGTTCTAGATTTGAGGAGATGTGGTAAATGATATTAGTCATTGGACTAAAAAAATTCATCATCCTCCTCCTTTCCCATCCGCCCTTGGATGTACATGTTGAATCCAGGCCCATCCTTGCGTTGCAACCAGGAGCTTCCATCCACATCATCTTCCCCAGAGGGAACCAATGAAACATCTTTTTGTTTTTGCAGGTTTTTATTGAGAGACCACAAGCAGATCTTCCACCCTCAGATCTCTGACTACAAAAGGTGCGATGGAACATTCTTCCCTTCCCCATCCTTTCCCTTGCTCCAGCCCAGGGTCCGTTTGGGGGCCTCCCAAAGTGACTCACTAACGTGGTCTCTGATGCATCCCCAGGAAGGGAAGTGGGGTGATGGGGGGGCATCCCTTTGTGGGAGAGAGCGACCAATTATTTATCCTCCCGCATAGGATGCCCTGGCTCAATGACCTGTAAGGGCCATTTCAGCACTTCCATTCCATCTGTCCTCAAGGCCTCACCTTAGGTGAGAACTTTGGCTCTCATTCAGCTCTCAGGGTGTCTGCCTCCTCACAGCTGAAGGTCCTTCTTGTCTGAGATGGACAGTATTACCTAGTAGTATGCGTGCTCTAGGACCATGAATGACATCAAGACTAACCGAGAACTATACCAGCAATACGCCACCACGGCCCCCAAGCTGCTGGCCCGCATCTCCAGGCTGCTCATCGTCTGCCAGAGCGCAGGCATTTCTGTACCCAATGGCATCAGAAACATCTTTGAGTTCACCTGGGAGGAGCTGATCACTGACCGCATGATCCCTACCCCTTCTGAGATCCTGGGCCTGGAGATCAGCATTGGAGCCCCGCCCGTGGTGCTTATGGAACCGGCCCCTGTGCAGGCCCCTGTCCAGAACAAGCCACCCCCGCCAGCGCTACCACTGCCGATGCTGCCCACTTCCACTGGGCCGGCCAAATTCTCCACGCATTCTCCCACCCACGGCCAACGGGGGCCATCCAGCCAGGAGACCCTGCACAGGTTCCAGAGGCAGTCTATCCACCTGCTGACCGAGCTCCTCACCCTGAAGATGAAGGCCATGCTGGAGTCCGTGTCCAGTAAGTCAGCGAAGTCTGGCTTACCGGATCCTGGCTTATTTTTCTGGGCCTGGAAGGGTCTGGCCTGGGCATGTGTGTATGCGTCCACTGCACCCACCCCAGACAGGTCTACAAGAATGTGCCGTGAAAAGGTGGCAGCCAAGGGTCCGCTTTGCAACTCAGCTCCTTCCTGAGACCACCCCCAAGAATCATCCTTTCACCCCTCTCCGTTCTCCATTTTGTCCTCCCATCCCTCCAGCTTTGCTGAACCCAGATTGAGAGGTTGGCCATGAGAACAGTGTGAGGTATTGAAAGGGGGAGTTTGTGGAAATGATGCTGAGGTAGAGAGAGGCAGCACCCAGGAGGTGGGGGTAAATCGGGAGGGCCAGTTGGTGGGTAGCAAGACAGAGCCAAGCAGAGCCAGAACCAGGAGAGTCGTGAGAACCGGGGTCTCTCCACAATGAGGGTGTCATCCCAAGATCAGGGACCCAGAGTTTCATCAGTGATGGAGCCTTCTGAATTCTGTGTTATTTTAAATACACAGATAGCGTCAGTCCCCAGGCCTCCGGGTGGGAAGAGAGAAGGGCAAGGGGGCAGAGAGCAAAGTGCCACCTGACAGGTCTTGGGAGCTCGAGGCCCTCTCATTAGGAGCCCCCTCATACTTGCTCACCCTAGGAATAGATCACTCCCCCTTACTTCCTGGGCTGTTTATGGAGGTCCTTTTATAGAAGCATTAGCCCCATGCTGGAGGAAAATGAGTAGTTGCCTTTGATGATTCCTTTAGTAGGTGCCAACCCCCTGGACATTACAAGGCGCTTCGTGGAGGCCAGCCAGCTCCTCCACCTCAGAGCCAAGGAGATGGCTCTCGAATACCTCATCGGCACCATTGGGAGAAGTGCTTGCAGTGTCGGACAGATGGGGAAAGGTGGGTCCCTGAGCATCAGCTCTTAGGCGAAAGGTCAAACAATACCAACTAGAGTGCAATGGAAAGGTCAAGTCCCCAGCTTAAACGTTTGACATTTCCAGGAGTTGAGGTGGCTGTGAAGCAACAGGTATTCTTGAACGCTGCAGGTGAATTGCAGGTGCAGTTCCTGTGGAGAACAGCTTGGTGGTGTCTGCAAGGTGGGAGATGCTCTAGCATCTTACAACCCAGCAGTTTCTCTCTGGGTCGTTCCCTAGAGCTGTGATTCTCAGACTCTGCAATGAAGGACCACTTTGTAAAATCTGCAGTCTCTTGTGGATCACCCCTCTTAAAAACATGATCACGTCACAACAACAACATCAGATTGTTACATAGTCTTCTAAATGTTTATTCTCAGTTTTTGTACTCAGCTGGTCATGGTCTGGTGTGGATTCATACCAGTCCACAGGCCGCACTTGAGAGTTGCACTGCCCTAGACAAACACACACAAGTGCAAGAAGTCATACCAGAATGTTTACTGTAGAATTGTTTGGGATGGAAAAAAAATGGAAACGACCTAAATGTCCATCAACAGGACAAAGATAAATTACAGTCTATTTCGATGATGGAGCATAATGAGAAGTGAAAATGAATCACGCACTGAAGCACACATATCAACATAGATAAACTAAAAAAATAGCGTTGAGCAAAAAAAAAAAAAAAAAACTATAGAAGGATACATTTGGTATAATACTATTTAAAGTTTAAAATAACAAAATTATAACATTGCTTATAAGCGTTGAAAAAAAAAAAAAAAAAAAAACTATAGAAGGATACATTTGGTATAATACTATTTAAAGTTTAAAATAACAAAATTATAACATTGCTTATGGGTACGTTATACAAAGTATAAGTACAAAAGCTGAATGGGAATAACAGATGCAGAGTTAGAGGAAGTGATCTCTGCTAGCGGGAAGGAGAACATCTGGGATCTGGAAGACAGCAATTCAGTCATATCTGTACTGTTGTATCTCTTAAGCTTGGTGGATATACAGGTATTCATTTTGAATGCCTGAAAGTCCTCACTGTTAGGAGACTTCATGCGAAGCATAAAAAATTTATAGCCCATAGCCATTTGCCCTAACCTATAAAATCCATCCTTTTTAGTGTCTCTCCCTGTCCTCTGAATGTGTGTCAGGCTTCCCTTGGTGGTCAGAGGTTAAACACCTGATGATGATGTACATATACACAGGGAAAATAAATTGTATAGTAAAATTGTAGTGCTAGGGGAAAAAAATGTGGGATTTCGTGAAGTCAATGAAAATGATGTTGGAGAGCTTCTGGGTGCCCACACGAAGCCACTCATTAGCAATGCGGTGGAGGAAAACTAGTTAACTGCTGAGGACAGGAGAGTCATCTAGGGTGACTACTCCATGGAGAAAGGACGACTTGGTTATCAAAGGGTTAACAGTAAAAATTTGGATATTTCTGCAAAAGGCAGACATGAAGGGACTCATGTTTTATTGCTGTCATATAGCCATTCAGGCGAAAAGGAAAATCACACCACCTGAAAAAAACAGTCATTTTTATTTCTTATAAGAGTTAGTATATGCTTACGATATCAATGGATTTTTGTTAAATACAAGATAGAGAAGGTTATCTTGATAAACTTTGGTTTCCTTTTCTAACATAAAGTCCCAATCAAGCATCCTCCCACTATTTACCATGAAGTGGGTGGGGGGGTCTCTGTTTTAAGGGAAGGTACTCTGCGCATTATGTTCAGGATCAGCTGTGCTCTGATAACACAGGTCCTCTGATTATGCTCTATTTGGTTGTCAGCAGACACGGAGTTCTGCGCCCTGCACTCCATATAGGGCTTGGAGCTCCACCTCATTTGGGGGGCAGCTGCCTGATGGTCTGTTGTGTGGGCAGGCGAGTCCATGGGACGGGTCCTGGTAGCCCCAGCCCAACCACCCACCCTCAAACCTGCGAGTGGTGCTCTCCTACCTGAACATTGTGTTCTCTCACCTTGAAAAGGAAGTCGTCGTCCCCATTAGCGCTCTACCTCAGAAGGTGTTTAAGCATCTTGGAAGGTCATAGGCTTTCACCTGTGATACAGTGGCTTCCTGCATCTCTCACGGTTTGTGGTTAACCTAGTAGAGGAGACTGCAGAGAGCCTCTCAGTGATGTGTTTGTCCGGGCTGCATCAGTAGAGTGCTGAGCAAGCCTGTCCTCCATCACACTCCTCAGGAAATCTCTCTTACTTGTTGACACATCTATTCCTGATGTTCCTCTCTTTAAACAAGCCAAGAGTTTGAAAAGAAAATCTAGATAACAAAATATAAATGAAGGAGCGATCCGTTTCTTTTGGAAAAGCATTCACCCTAGAAGGACTTGAATTAGATAGGTTTCCCAGGGCTTTAAAAAGAAGATTCAAACTCGTGTTGATCTGTTTTGCATGAATTTTGCTTTTCCGAACCATCTAACTGCTGAGGTAGACCCAAGTTGTTACTGAGTCTGGAGTGGTATTCCTTGAAAGCTGTAACCAGAATATACCCATTGCTACGGTAGTATTTCCTCAGTAATAAAATTACTTCCTGTCTTTTCTCCTGTCCAATACCTCCTAGTCCTGGCTTGTCTGGAAAGAAAACTGGACTGTTACTTGATTTTTAGTTGATGGCAATATTATTAAATAAAACAACAAAAAAGAAAACAGATAATCTTGCCATTTTTATGTGATAACTATTTTTCACTTTTGCAGTTCCCTTTGTGGTTCCTCCCTCTGGGTGTGTGTGTGTGTGTGTGTGTGTGTGTGTGTGTGTCTGTGTGTCTGTGTTTTCCTAAGAATACTGCAATTTTTCTATTTTTCAGTTTCCTTTACTTAACAGATACAGTCTTTTCCAACATGGCTATATACTTTTAACAATTGTCATTCTGAGTGAGTGTAGAGTCCTCCTAATGTTCATGTTCCATAATTAACTGAATGCTTAGGTTTCCAGGTTTCTTGTTATTAGTATAATATACATTGTAATACACAGCTTCATGCACATTGCTTCTTATCACTCTTGTGTTGGTTATTAAGATTAACCTCCCAGCAGAGAGATTATTGGGCAGAGGGTCTCAACATGTATATAGTTCTTGCTAAACATTACTTTCTTGATGAATTTTCTCTACACCCGCGGGGTTGACTGGTTTTATTCCATCTTTCCCAGCATTGGCTATTATTAGTTCTTTTCATGTGGTCCTAACTTCACCAGTGAAGGTGATTGTTTCTGAGCTTGCATCATGCAGGGTGCAGTCTCTGGGTGTAGTTTTTGTCTATTTAGGAGGTCAGGTTTGCCATTTTCTTTATGAGTTTGAATGAGCCGTGATGAATGGCTTAACATTTCCTAACATTTTCATGCCCAACTAGTGAAATGACTGTATTTGGGGGGAGAATAAGCAAATGACTTGATGAGGTTTATAGAAGAATGATCAAGATTTTCCACACGTAAAGGGGTGCTAAATTTAAATTCTTAAGCGGTCAGGTATCAGGTGATTTTACACAAGACAATGTGATCCTGCAAGAGACTAATCTATTGTTGAAGAAGCATCTGATCTCTGTGGCTTTGGATCAGGGGAAACAGATGACTCGAAATGTCCTTCTAGCTACAGCCCAGTGTTTATTCTCTTCACCTAGTGCAGCAGTTACATCTGCATTTATCCCTAGAGTAACGTCACCTGTGGTTGCTTTCTCTTCCTTGCTCCCTGCTCTGGTGTCATTTCATTCTGGAATTTTATTTTATTTATTTATTTTTTACACAGCACGTTCTTATTAGTTATCTATTTTTATACATATTAGTGTAACTATGTCAATCACAATCTCCCAGTTCATCCCACCACCACCCCCACCCCTCATTCTTGAGAGATATTGAGTGTGGGGCAGGGAGGACACCATAGAAGAGAACTTTAAAGATTTCTCTTAATTGCTCTGAGCCTTCTCCAGCATTAAAAAATCTTTTTCTTCCAGAAATTGGTTGTTTTGTAACAACAGGGCACTTTAGAATATCTGGTCTGCCATACAACTAGGACAAAAACTTCATTATTATACTTTTGATTAAAAAATTAAAATAAAAAAATTGAAAGCAGAATCCCATCTGTTCCACTCCAGATTCCTCCAGAAACATCCCAGCCATGGGAGTGAACTCACCTTACCAGCCTGTCTACGAGTCCTCTACTGGCTGTCTGAGCTTTTCCCTCTCAACCGCAAGGGAAGTCAAGAAGAAAACAGGTAACAGTGATTCCCAGCAAGACCTTTTGACCTATCTTTGGTGGTGGAGGTGGGATGGGGAGGGGGATAGAAGATTTCCTGTGTAGGTTGATGAGATGATTTGATTTGGTTTTCTGATAGGAGGGATATATAGCTGCCCTGGCTGGAGACCCAGCAGCTATTGACATATTCTGTCCCATAAAAGGTGACATATCTCAATCCAGTCACTCCACTTTGCAGTCTCATCGTTTGAATGTTTACAAGCACTCCATTTCTGTTAATGCGGTTCCTCTCACCTGGGGCAACACCCCTAGCAAACCCACATCTTCCACCTCCTATGTTATCCCATACTCACCCCCTCTTCTTAGAGAGAGACCTGTGTTACCCATACTCACCCAGCAAGTGGGGGAACCAGTACCTGAACGGACGTATCTGGATACCAAGCCTAACCATGTGTCCCCAACTGGGTCAGTTTATGTGAGCAGAAAACAGACATAGAGGCCATTTCTATTCTACTGCAGAAAACACAGAGCAGAAGGAAAGGCTTAAAGGAAAGAACTGGTGGCAGGTGAGACCAAACAGGGTAGCAGTGAGTGTGCAGCCAGAGCTTGGAGGAGAGATGAGTTGAGGCTGGAGAGGGCAGAGAAGGAACTTTCTCTCATGGAACTTCCAGGACCCCCCCAGGCTGTGGAGGTAGAGTGGTGGGGTAGGGGAGGGATTGTATTCGCAAAGTGGTGGTGGGAGGATCAACAGAAGTTTGGGATGCTCAAAGACTGTCCAGTGATTCCCACAGACACTGGAGGTAAGGCTAGAAGTTGAGAAGCTTGGATTTTATTCCTGAGCCCACCTCGGATTGCTATGAGATTTGCCTTCTTCCAGGCCTCACTCTCCATATCAAGTTGATCCTGTAGCCTTTCAGTCAGTGAACAAATGTTTATTGAACAATTGCTAGTTGTCAGTCACTGGTTTTTTTTTTTTTTTTTTTTGGTACGCGGGCCTCTCACTGTTGTGGCCTCTCCCGTTGTGGAGCACAGGCTACGGACGTGCAAGCTCAGCGGCCATGGCTCACGGACCCAGCCGCTCCGCGGCATGTGGGATCTTCCCGGACCGGGGCACGAACCCGTGTCCCCTGCATCGGCAGGCGGACTCTCAACCACTACGCCACCAGGGAAGCCCCAGTCACTGTTCTGAATGCTGTGGGTACACGTGTGGATTTTAAGACAAGGAACACCTTCCCTGATGGAGGTGACATCCTCAGACTCTTGTTTCCCCTGTTCCTTTACCTCTCATGACACATTTTCTGTCACTGTGAGCATCACTTCCAGCATCCCTCTTTATAAGCTTCTGGTTTATCATATGTCCTCCTGAGCTGGCCCTAAATCAGTGCAGTCACTTTGAGGGGAAACAAAGTATCCTCAGGACACCCAGTGATTTCATGATTTTTTTCTTCCTAATGACCTCAGGGGTGATGCCTTGAGTAAGGTTGTTCCAAAACAAAAGTTGCAGATGTCTGTTGGTCTTTTTGTCTGTGTGGCTGTTTTCCTCTGCCACCCGAGGATGTGATTACCCCATGATGTTGCATCATTCTCACTAGGATGTTCAACGCTGCTGCATTTCTTATAGGTTTCTGATATTGTTTAGAAATTATTCTCACACACGTGTGCTAGGATGGGTGGTTAACCTTCCCTAATAGTTTATAAATAACCGTGTGTCCTAGCTTGCCCAGGAAAGTCCCAGTTTATGCTGTTGTCCTGGCATAACTATTAATTATACCCACTTTCACTCCAAAGTGCTGCCCTAGCTTAAAGAACGTATTGTGGAGTCGTTGTGGTTTTAAGTCACTTTGGGTTTGGGACCTCTGCTATCTGTTCCATGTACACGTGCTGTCACACCTTGCCAGCTGGCCCCCTTTGCAGTTCTAGGGTCGTGCAGACTTGGAGCAGACAGGCTCCAGGAGTTGGACCTACTCCCTGAGCAGACAACAGCTACTTCTGGAGCATAGCCCAACTTTACAGGCAGAGAATTGAGAGAAATCTGTCAACAGTGGTTCCTGGTTGTCACACTTGGGGACCCAAAGCAACTAGGGGCAGGCCAGAAATGGATGCTCAGGCCAGCAGATATTCCAGGAGGTCAGCCAGCAGGTAGGTGGGCCTCAGGGTCAAGTCTCTGGTCTCATGGCTGGAGGAGTCAGGAAAGGGACCAGGAACCACTGAAGGTGACAGATACCAGACATGGTACCCAAGCACCAACCAGAAACCTCGAGGCTTGGCTGACAGTGAGAAAGACTCCATTCTGAGGCCTTCAGGGCTCAGTTGGAGCCTAAGCAATGCCCCTGGCCTGAAGACTCATTTTATTTTTGAGTCCAAGGTGAAGATGAGCCTGCATATATCAAAGGAGAGCATGTGGCTCCAGCTGAGTAGGCAACAGAGACTCGGAAGCAGGCAGGACCTGAATAGATGCTTCTGGAAATTCAGCCATGGATGATCACCTCCACAATTTTATGTCGTCATATCCTCATACCACCTAAGACTTGCCGTGGGGGATAACTGTGAAAATAACGGAAATAAGCACAAAACATTGCCACCACAGATTTGAGCAGGCAGAAGAAAGAATCAGCTCGAAGACAGGACAGTGGAAATTATTGAGTCTGAAGAACAGAAAGAAAAAAGATTAAAGAAAAATGAACAGAGCCTAAGGGAACTGTGGGACACCATCAAGTGGCATATGCATGTGGGAGTCCCAGAAGAGGAAGAGAGATCAGAAGAGGCAAAGAGAATATTTAAAGAAATAATGGCTGAAATTTTCCCAAATTTGATGTAAGACATGAACATAAATGTCAGAGAAGCTCAGCAGACTCCCAGAAAGATGACCTCAGAGAAACCCACGCCAAGACACATTAATCATCGAACTTTCAAAAGACAAAGACAAAAAGAGAATCTTGAAAGCAGTAAGAGAGAAGTGAATCCTCACATACAATGAATTTCAATAAGATCATTAGCAGGTTTCTCATCAGAATTTGGAGGATACAAAGTACAGGGCAAATATATTCAAAATGCTTAAAGAAAAAACCTGTCAGCTAAGAATCAATCCTGAATTCAGGAAAACTGTGCTTCAAAACTGAGCAAGACATTAAGACATACAAAACCTGAGGCAGTTCATGACAACTAAATCTGTGCTACAGGAAGTGCTTGAGGGAGTCCTGCAAGGTGAAATGAAAAGACACTAGACAGAACCACAAAGCTATATGGAGAAATAAAGACCTCAACAAAGGTAATACATAGGGAAGAATAAAAGCTAGTATTATTGTAACAGCAGTTTGTAACTGCACTTTTTGTTTTTCTACATGATTTAAGAGACTAATATATTTAAAGAAAAAATTAGTGTAAAAGCCAGTATTACTGTTAACTTTGGTTTGTAGCTCCAAATCTTAGTTTCTACATAATTTGAAAGATTAATGCATTTAAAAGAATTGTTCATTTATGTTTTGGAACATATGATATAAGAAGATGTAATTTTTAGGACATTAACAACTGACAGTGATGGGGATGATGCTGTAAGGAGGAGAGTTTTTGTACGTTATTGAAGTTAAGCTGGTAAAATTCAAATTAGAATGTGATAACCTTAGGATGTTAAATGTAATCCCCATGGTAACCACAAAGAAAATAACTACAATATACAGAAAAGGAAATGAGAAATTTAAAAATTTTGCTACAAAAAATTAAAACAAATGACAGTGATGCAGGGTATGAAGAACAAAAAGCTCTAATAAGGCATATAGAAAATAAAAAACACAGTAACAGAAGCAAGTCCCTCCTTATCAGTAATTCCTTTAAATGTAAACTGGCTAAATTTTCTAATCAAAAGGCAGAGATTGGGAGAATGAATAGAATCTCATGATCCAACTATATGCTATAAGAGACTCACTTGAGATCCAGAGACACAAGTGGGTTTGAATGTGAAAATATGGAAAAAGATATTCCATGCAAATAGTAACCAAAGGAGAGCAGGGGTGACTATTACTAATATCAGATAAAATAGACTTTAAATTTAAAAAGATTACAAGAGACAAAGAAGGACATTCTATAATAATAAAATTTCAATACAGTAAGAAGATACAACAGTTATAAACATTTATGCACCTAATGACAGGCCATCAAAATATATGAAGCAAAACCTGACCAGCTGAAGACAAGTAGTTCTACAGTAATAGTGGGAGACATCAATAACCCACTCCCAATAATGGATAGAATAACAGACAGAAGTAAGAAAATAAAAAACAACACAATAAATCAACCAGATCTAACAGACACATGCAGAACACAAAACAACAAAACAGTGCACATTCTTTTCAAGTGTACATGGGACATTTCTAGGATAGGTCATATGTTGGGCCACAAATTAAGTCTCAGTAGATTAAAAGAAATAGATTTCATTCAAAGTATCTTATCTTACCACAATGGGATGAAGTTAGAAATCAGTAAGAGAAGGAAAACTGGAATGTTTACAAAATTGTGGAAATTAAATAACACACACTTAATCAATGGATCAAAGAAGAAATTACAAGGAAAACTATAAAATACTAGAGACAAATGAAAATGAAAACAGCGGGCTTCCCTGGTGGCACAGTGGTTGAGAGTCCGCCTGCCGATGCAGGGGACACGGGTTCGTGCCCCGGTCCCGGAAGATCCCACATGCTGTACATTGATTATGATGCTTGCTGTCATTTCTCAGAAGATATTCTTTATCCAGTCAAGGAATTACTTTCCTGATTTACTAAGAAGATACTTTTTATCTGAACACAAAAGAAAATGTGAATAACTTTATCAAACTTTATTTCTACATTTATTTGTGTTAAAATATAATTTTCTCCTTTATAATGTGTTAATGTGGTGAATTAGATTAAGAGACTCAAATTAAACATACTTCTCTGCTGTGATGTAATCTCACTTGGTGGTTTCGTCACATTAATTTATACTGATCACAGTCACAGATGATACAAAGCTTGAAGTGACAATGAAAATGGTGAGTAATTAGAATTAATCTCGGTGCTTCCCTGGTGGCTCAGTGGTTGAGAGTCCGCCTGCCGATGCAGGGGACACAGGTTCGTGCCCCGGTCCAGGAAGATCCCACATGCCGCAGAGCGGCTGGGCCCATAAGCCATGGCTGTTGAGCCTGCGTGTCCGGAGCCTGTGCTCCACAACAGGAGAGGCCCGTGTACCACAAAAAAAAAAAAAAAAAATGAAAACAGCATACCAAAACTTATGGGGTACAATGAGAGCAGTGCTAAGGGGAAAATTTATAGCTATTAATGCTTATATTAAAAGGCAAGAAAGATCTCAAGTAAAGAACCTAACTTTCCAACTTAAGGAACTTTAAACCCAAAGCTAGAGAAGGAAGGAAATAAAGGTTAGAGCAGAGAGAAACTAAATAGAGAATATAAAAACAACAGAAAATCAATGAAACCAAAAGTTGATGCTTCAGAAAGATCAACACAATTGACAAATCTTTAGCTAGATGGACTAAGAAAAAAAGAAAGGAGACTCAAATTCCTAAAATCAGAATTGAAAATGGGACACAGCTACTGACTCTACAGAAATAAAAGGGATTATCCGAGAGTACTGTGCACAACTAACTGTGTGCGAACACATTGGATGACCTACATGAAGTGGACAGATTCCTAAAACACAAAGCCTGCTTAGACTAAATCATGAAGAAATAGAAAATTTGAACTTGACCTATAAATAGTAAGAGACTGAATCAGTTATCAAAAATCTCCCAACAAAGAAAATCCCTGGACCTGATAACTTCAATGATGAATTCTACCAAACATTTAAAGAAGAATTAATGCCAATCGTTGTAAAATTTTTCCCCAAACTTGAAGAGGGAACACTTCCCACCTCATTCTGTGAGGCCAATATTGCCCTGATATTGGAGCCAAAGACACTAGAAGAAGACTACAGACCAATATACCTGATGAACATTGATGCAAAAATCCTTAGCAAAATATTAGCAAACAGAATTCGGCAGCATAATAAAAGGATTAGACAACATGACACTAAACAGGATTTATTCCTAGAATGCAAGCATGGTTCAACATATAAAACTCAACTAAAAGATGCCGCATGCCACAACTATAAGATCCCACATGCTGCAGTGAAGATCCCGAGTGCCACAACTAAGACCTGGCACAGCCAGATAAATAAATATTTTAAAAAATTGAAAAGAAAGATTTGGTCTATACCTATAATGGAATATTATATAGCCTTAAAAAGGAAGGGAATTCTGCAATATGTTATAACATGGGTGAAACATGAGGACATTATGCTACATGAAACAAGCCAGTCACAAAAAAGACAAATACTGTATGATTCCACTTATAGGAGGTACTTAGAGTAGTCAAAATCATAAAGATAGAAAGTAGATTGGCAGTTGCCAGGGGCTGGGGGTAGGGGAGAATGGGGGGGTATTGTTACAGAGTTTCAGTTTTATAAGATAAAAAGAGTTACGGGAATAGATGGTGATAACGGTTGCACAACACTGTGAATTTAATACCACTGAACTTGCCTCTTAAAAATTAAGTTGGTAAATTTTTGTTATACGTATTTTACCACAAACACACACAAAACCCCCCAAAACATCACAGTCTTGAGTCTCAGTTGATACACTCTGCCCTCTGCCAAAGGCCAAGATAAGCCAGCATCAGAGAAGTGTTGAAGCCCTTGAGCCATTGAGCCATTGAGATGGAATTGGGACTTTTTGTCTTAAGTCAGAAGTGTCACAAGGGAGTCCCTTCTGCAGCCACCACAGCCATGTGTGTGCTCTCTCCACCCAGGACTAGGCCGCCCTTGGGGAAATGTGGCTGAATTCACCACTCTGCATGAGTGTTCCTGACACACACTCGGTTGACTCACAGAGTGCCGCCTCTGTTTCATAAGTGACCTGCTGGGGATTCTTGTCCCTGGAAGCATAAATGATTCCCACAGTTATTTTGATTCTCAAGGGATGCAGCTCTCCTGCTCTCCCCGCCCCCTCACCGCAGGTGAACATGACGTCTTGAGAAACCATTTTCTAAAACCCTCCCTAACCTCTTCATCTCCAACTACAGGCAAACCCAAAAATTTGGAAGAAGTAATCTTGACATCCCCACAACGAGGAGCAGGAACCTCTGCCTCTGAGGTTTTCGAGTTCAGCGACCCCTGCCCTGAAGCCCAGGAGAAGCTGCAGGAGATGTGTCGCCTTATGTGAGCACCTTAGTGGTTGGGGGTGTATGGGAGAGGAGGGCATGGCCTGTGTGTGTGTGGAGGGGGATCACGGACATGTTGGCTACCCAGTGCCCCCAGCCACAGTGACAGGGTGGTAGTCGTCCCTCACACACACGTCCCTAGTCCTTCCACATTCACAGTCCTTTTCAGTCCTAATATGACCTTATGAGGAAGGCAGGTTTATGCCCGTTTTACAGATGAGGAAACTGAGGTACCTCAAGCACATGGTAAGGCATTGTCTGAGGTCCCACAGCTCAATGGGCCTGTTCCAGGGCAATGTTCTTTGCCTCCTCACCAGTGAGACCCCTTTGCATGGCTTCTTAAAGTTTACGCACCCTTACAGTTAAGAATATTTATTTCTTGACATAATTTATCAGGTGTTCTCTTAGAAAAAAAGGAACGGCTCTCAAAACAAAAAACACTGACCTGGGTGATTAATGGTATTTATGATTTTGTGGGTCCCACAAGTCCTAGCAAGTGAATCTGCATTTCTCCAAAGGCCTGGACCATGGGCCATAAATGATTTCAAACCTAGTCACATCTAAGTATATATGTGTCCTGGGGCTCCCAGGCCACTGTCATTGCAGCTGTAGAATATGCATAGAGGGCAGCCACCCAGTTTGCTCCTTACTGTGACATTCCAGAACGAAGCTGTCTTCCTTTGTAAGCTCAGGATTGGGAGGTGATCAAAGCCTCCAGCTCTGCCACCCCATTCCACACACAGCTCCACTGCATGGGTCCCCACCCCTGTGCAAAAGGTGGAAATCAGGCCAGGGCCGGTCTCAAAGGGGTATGGGGACCTTCCCAGTTCTTCCTAAAAACATTACCTGTTTTTGTTGGATGAGGGGTTGGGGTAGGGACAGATACTTTGGGGACAGGGAAATGGAATGGGAGTCTCGGGAGCTGGGGAGGGGCTGTAAAGAGCCTGGTGAGTGAGAGGCAAGTGGCTAGAAAATATGTTGGTCTCCTTCCCTGCAGAGAAGCCGAAAGGGTCTCTTGGAAAAGGAGGAATATCTTCTACCCCATGATCTTACACAACTACAGGGCAAAGATGCCCCCTCATCTAATGTCGACCCCCAAAGGGGACGCTCAGACCCCATGCTCCCACCATCCGCACCCTCCAGGTGCTCAGACTTCCACTCCCACCCCTCACCAACCTCCTGCCCATCATCTTCACTTGGACCGGCCTTCTCAGGAATGGAAGGCACCCAAGAAGGCCATCAAGTTGCATTACACCTTCTATGATGGGTCCTCCTTCATTTAGTATCCTTTTATTTGGTGCTTCCCTTCCTCCCCAGCAGCTCGACCCAGAGAACTCCAGGCTTTGACAAAGCCAGAGTGTTTCCTTTGGCTTTTCATTTGGTCAGAGAAGTCTGGTGATGGGTCCTCTGGGATATTAAGAGTTTGTTCAGGTCAGAGAAGTACCAAGAGTCAAGCCTCAAATTCAGTCCTGATCAACCAGTATGTACTGAACCCGACTATCTGTGATCACGTGTCAGTGCGGGCTGGGGGTGCAGCAGCAGTCCCTGCCTTCGAGGCTCTCCCAGGTGGGAAGAGGTTGGAGACACAGAACATTCATCTCTAGCTGAGGGAAGGTGATAGGAGACCCTCCATCCTGGGGGGGTGGTCTTTGTCCTTCTGTCTCAGGCTCAATGGGTAAGCCCTGTGGTTCTTGCATACTTTGCCCCCAAGATCCCTGTATTTGGAGTCTAACCCGCACTGCAGATACCACACCTGGCACATGCTCGGGTTGCTCTGCAACTGAGGTCTGTCGGTATTCATGAGAATATGGGCAGCTGGGTCCCAACCTCGGGGTGTGTGAGTGGCACAAGGGGACACATTTTCTCGTTGAGAATCTGGTGAAAGCTACAGACCCTCTTCCCAGAAATATGAACTGATACACATGCATTTAAAACATTTCCTGTGATTGCAGGGGGTCTGCAGACCTTCAAAGCTTGTCCATGGACCAAGAACCCTAGACTGAGGAAAACTAAGATTTCTAACGTGCAGGGTAAAGGATGAGAGTTACGCATATTTTAGCATGAATGGAGTCAGGTTGCTTTCTTCATTCACAGATGTTTATCGAGTATTATATGCAATGATTAATGGAATGGAGTGAATGTACCACTTTACCTTAGAGGGAGGTGGCTCTCTGAGCTGTCTCAACAGGCGGCCCAGCAGGCCTTCCTGGCCATGGCCCCCCCTCGCTTCCTTTGGCCTCCTCTCCACTGAACTGGGAATTCAGAATTGCAGTGCCTGTCAAAGGAGTCCTATGGTTTCTCTGACCATAAATGAGTGCATTCATTACTGTCTGCTCAGCCCTGCTTCCAGGACACCTTGTGCATTGAACTCAGCACACACCTTCCCAGGCAGCTGCTGCTCACAGGGGTCATGGGGCTCCCTCCCCCCGCTTTTCTTCCTCCACACTGCATTGAATGGGACCATCACCCTGAACTCGTGAAACTGTGTCCGTGAACTAGGTTGCTATTGGCAGGACCAGAGAGGGGTGGACAAGTGTAGATCAGGGGATCAAGGTACTGCAGACCAGCCTGCTGGGATCCATGTTCCCTCCCCTGCCACAGAATCCCAAGGACCCCCTGCTGGGACCACCCCAGACCTCAGGCCATCGATGCTGGTGCGCTTGACTCAGACCCCAGTGATCTTGGTCGTTAATGTATTTCTGCTGTGGAAGTCCCAAGAGCCCTGGATTCTAGGCCCAGTTCTTCTTGGTGACCCTGAACAAGCCATTCCATCTCTCTGGGCCTCACTTCTCTCCATTATAAGGTGAGAAAGTTGGACCCAGTGATCTTGAAGGACAGCATCTGTGTTACCATGATCAAATGGCCAAAACACACATGCAGGTGTTGGATCCCTCTGGAGTACAGAAAATGTTTGGGAGACACTTCCCTCCCTCATGGGTTCCACAGAACCCTGGACTCAGCAGCTAATTCTGTCTTCGTGGAGACTGCTGGGCCAAACTTTCAGGTAGAAGTGATGTGTCTGCCCTTGGATTGCCAAAAAGCTCCAAGCCCCGGTGGGTTTGCACTGGTCAGTGTCAGACCCCAGAACCATCCTGGCATCCCTTTCATTTGGGCTGTCAGCATCTCCTTGGATCTCTCTCCTCAATGGCTGAGTCTCCTGTCAAACTTCCCTCAAGTCCTTTTTTCATACAAAGATACAAACTCACCACATTAAAAACAAACCGTAATCACTATGTGCCCAGTACTGTGCTAAGTGCTGTTCCTTTAGGGATTTGTTGAGCACTCAGAACTGCTGTGTGAGGTGCACATTTTTTTTTAATATGTAAAATGCACGTAACATTTACTGTTTTAAGCATTTTGAAGTGTACAATTCAGTGGCATTCATAGTGTTGTACAACCATCACCACTATCTAGTTTCCAGCACTTTTTCATCACCTCAGAAGGAAACCCTGTACCTAATAAGCAGTCACTCCCCATTTCCCCTCCCCCACAGTCCTTGGCAACTGCTCATCTCCTTTCTGTCTCTATGCATTTCCCTATTCCAGACATTGCATATAAATGGAGTCACACAGTATGTGGTCTTTTTATCTGGCTTCTTTCACTTAGCATAATGTTTTCGAGGTTCTTCCATGTTGTAATATGCATCAGTTCTCCCAGTTCCCCCACCAGGGATTGAACGCCAGCCCTTGGCAGTGGGAGCACAGAGTCCTAACCACTGGACCTCCATGGAATTCCCTCCTTTTGTTTTTTTGATTGGGGTGAAATTCACATGACATAAAGTCAGTCCTTTTAATGTGTACAATTTAGTGGCATTTAGCACATTTACAGTGTTGTGCAACCAACTCCTCTATTGAGTTCACCACAAAAGAAAACCGTATACCCATTAATTGGTCACTCCTCATTTCCGCCTACCCCCAGGGGCAACCACCAATCTGTTTTTTTGTCTCTATGGATTTGCCTATTCTGGACATCTCATATAAATGGAATCTTACAGTATGTGGCCTTTTATGCCTGGCTTCCTTCACTTAACATAATGTTTTCAAGATTCATACATGTTGTAGCATGTGTCAGAATTTCCTTCCTTTTCGTGGCTGACTAATATTCTATTGTATGGATATACCACTTTTTAAAATCCATTCTTTCATTTATGGACATTAGATTGCTCCCACCATTTGGCTAGTGTGAATAATGCTGCTATGAACATTCTTGGAGAAGTTTTTATTTGCACACTGTTTTCATTTCTTTTCGGTCTATACCTAGGAGTGGAATTACTGGGTCATATGATAATTCTATATTTAACTTATTAACTTATTATGAAAACATTCAGAATGTTTTCCAAAGTAGCTGCACCATTTTACATTCCCACCAGCAATGTGTGAGGGTTTCAGTTTCTCCACATCCTTGACTATACTTGATATTTTCCAGTTTTTAATTTCCAGCCATTCTAGTGGGTGTGAAGTGATATCTTGTCATGGTTTTGACTTGCATTTCCCTAATAGCTAATGATTAGGAGCATTTTCATGTGCCTTCTTTGTATAATCTTCTTTGTAGAAATGTGTATTCAAGTCCTTTGCCCATTTTTTGATTAAGTTGTGAGAGTTCTTTTTTTATTGTGGATACTAGGCCCTTATCAGATATATAATTTACATATATTTTTCCTGTACTGTGATGTGTCTTTTCATACTCTTGATAGCATCCTTTGATATACAAAAGATTTAAATTTTGATGAAGTCCAGTTTTTCTATATTTTTGGATTTTATATCTAAGAAACTATTCCTTATTCCTCTGTTTTCTTCTAAGAGCTTTATAGTTATAGCTCTTAGGTCTAGATCTCTGGTCCATTTTTCAGTTGGTCTTTGCATATAGTATGAGTAAGGGTCCAACTTCATTCTTTTGCATGTGGTTCCCAATTGTCCTAGCACTATTTGTTGAAGAGACTATTCTTTCCCTCATTGAATGGTCTCATCGCCCTTGTTGAAAATCAATTGACCATAGATATATGGGCTTATTTTTGGATTCTCAGTTCTGTTCTGTTGATATATATGTCTGTTATGCCAGTACCACACTGTTTTATTATCACTTTGTAGTAAGTGTTGAAACCAATAAGTGTGGGTCCTTCATCTTTACTCTTTTCTTCAAGATTATTTTGGTTATTTGGGTACCCTTGCAATTCTGTACGAGTTTTAGGATCAAGTTTTCCATTGCTGCAAAAAAGATTGATGGGATTGATAGGGATTGCATTGTATTGGGTTGGCCAAAAAGACCCTAAGATGTTACAGGAAAACCCAAACAAACTTTTTGTCCAACCCAATATCTGTAGATCACTGTGGGGAGCATTGCCATTAACAATATTAATTCTTCCAGTCCATGAACACCGGGAACAAATGATCTGAAGTGCTATATGAGCAACAACTACAAGAGAAGAGTAATAAACAAAAGGAAATGATACCATTTACAATAACATCAAAAAGGATAAAATACTTTGGAATAAATTTAACCAAGGAGGTGTAAAACTTGTACACTGAAAACTACAAAATATTGCTGAAGTAGAGAGGACTGAAATGAATGGAAAGACATCCCATGTTCATGAGGACAACTTATTTCTATGTGTTGGTGTTGTATCCTGCAACTTTGCTTTGCATGTTTCTAGAGATTGGTCCTTTTCAACTAGGTTGCCTAACTGGTAGAGGTACAGATCTTCATATAATTCTCTTATGATCTTTTTTCATTTCTGTAAGGTCAGTTGTAATGTCTCCACTTTCATTTCTGATTTTAGGAATTTGAGTCTTCCTTTCTTTTTTTCCCCCTCAGTCAGTGTAGCTAAAGTTTTGTTAATTTTACAGATCTTTTCAAAGAACCAGTTTTGTGTTTTGTCAGTTCTCTCTATTGTTTTTTCTGTTCTCTGTTTTGTTTTTCTTTTCTCTAATCTTTATTATTTCCTTCCTCTGCTAGCTTTAGTTTTACTTTACTGTTCTTTTTATAGTTCATTATGGTAGAAGTTTGGGTTATTGAATTGAGATCTTTCTTCTCCTTTAATATGAATATTTTAAAAATTGTATTGGCGTGTAGTTGATTTACAATGTTGTTAGTTTCTGCTGTACAGCAAAGTGAATCACTTATACATATATCCACTCTTAGTTTTTTAAATTTTTAATCTTTTTTTAAATTGAAGTATCATTGATTTACTATATCCACTCTTTTTCAGATTCTTTTCCCATATAGGTCATTACAGAGTATTGAGAAGAATTCCCTGTGCTATACAGTAGGCTCTTATTAGTTATCTATTTTTTATATAGTAGTGTGTATATGTCAATCACAATCTCCCAGTTTGTCCCTCCCCACCCTGTTTCCCCCCTAGTAACATAAATTCGTTTTCTACGTCTGTGACTCTATTTCTATTTTGTAAGTAAGTTCATTTGTACCATGTTTTTAGATTCCACATATAAGTGATATCATATGATATTTGTCTTTCTCTGTCTGACTTACTTCACTCAGTGTGACAATCTCTAGGCTGTATAAACAAGTGAAATAATGCCATTTGCAACAACATGGATTGGGCCTAGAGACTGTCATAATGTGAATATTTATAGCTGTAAATTTCTCTCTGAGTACTGCTTTCACCTGATCCCATAAGTTTTGGTATTTTGTGTTTTTGTTTTCATTTATCTCAAAGTATTTTCTGATTTCCCTTGTGATTTATTCTCTATCCATTAGTTGTTTAAAAGTGTGTGCTTAATTTCCACCTGTCTGTGAATTTTCTAAATTTCCTTCTGCCAGTGATTTCTAGTTTCATTCTGTTGTCAGAGAATATACTCTTTATGGTTCCAGTTTTTTTGAAATTTATTGAGACTTGTTTTGTGGCCTAACATACTGTGTAAACCAGAGAACAATCCATGTGAACTTGAGAAGAACGTGTATTCTCCTGTTGTCAAGTGGAATGTTCTGTATATGCCTGGTAACTCTAGTTGGTTTATACTATTGTTCAAGTCCTCTGATTTTCTGTCTAGTTTTTCTAGGCATTATTGAAAGTAAGGTAGTGAAGTCTCTCTTATTGTAGAACTATTTCTTCCTCTAATTCTGTGCATTTTTGCTTTATATATTTTAGGGCTCTGTTGTTAGGTGTTTATACGTCTATAGTTGTTATATCTTCTTGAGGTATTGGCCCTTTTCTCAATACATAATGTCCTTCTTTGTCTCTTGTAAAAATTTTTACTAAAGTCTATTTTGTCTGATATCAATACAGCCACCTTTCTTTTGGTTACTATTTGCATGGAATATCCTTTTCCATCATTTCACTTTCAACCTAGTTGTGTCTTAGCATCTAAAGTGAGTCTCTTGTAGATAGCATATAGTTGAGTAATGTATTTTGTTTTGTTTTTATCCATTTGGCAGATCTCTGCCTTTGGAGAGTTTAATCCATTTACGCTTAAAGTAATTGATGATATGGGAGGACTGAATTCTGCCATTTTGCTGTTTGTTTTCTTTCTTTTTCATGGAAAGGCATTTTATTTTTATGTATGTATGTATGTATGTATGTATGTATGTATGTATGGGGGCTGCATTGGGTCTTCGTTGCTGTGCACGGGCTTTCTCTAGTTGTGGCAAGTGGGGGCTACTCTTTGTTGTGGTGCATGGGCTTCTTATTGTGGTGGCTTCTCTTATTGCAGAGCACAGGCTCTATGCACAAGGGCTTCAGTAGTTGTGGCCCGTGGGCTCAGTAGTTGTGGCTCGTGGGCTCTCGAGCACAGGCTCAGCAGTTGTGGCACATGGGCTTAGTTGCTCTGCGGTGTGTGGGATCTTCCCAGACCAGGGATCAAACCTGTGTCCACTGCATTGGCAGGTGGATTCTTAACTACTGCGCCACCAGGGTAGTCCCAAGGCATTTTATTTTAAATACAGCAGTGTGTACATGTCAATCCCAAACTCCCACCCTTCTCCCCAGTAACCATAAGTTCCTTCTCTAAGTCTATGAGTCTATTTCTGTTTTGTAAATAAGTTCATTTCTTTCATTTTTTCTTTTTGGATACAGCATATAAGTGATATCATATGATATTTGTCTTTCCCTGTCCTACTTACTTCACTTGGTATGATAATCTCTAGGTCCATCCATGTTGCTGCAAATGACATTATTTCACTCTTTTTAATGACTGAGTAATATTCCATTGTATATATGTACCACATCTTTATCCATTCATCTGTCAGTGGACATTTAGGTTGCTTCCATGTCTTGGCTATTGTAAACAGTGCTGCAATGAACAATTGGGGTGTGTTTATCCTTTCGAACCATGTTTTTCTCTGGGTATATGTCCAAGAGTGGGATTGCTGGATTATATGGTAGCTCTCTGATTTCCTTTTCTCCACCCTTTCTAGTTACTTTCTTATTGGTTTCCCTGGTATAATGGGTTGAATAATGTCTAACAAAAATTTATGTTTACCTGGAACCTCAGGATATGACCATATTTAGAAATAGGGTCTTTGCAGATATAATTATTAAGATGCAGTTATATTGGATTAGAATGAGCCCTAATCCACTGGTGTCCTTAATAAGAAGGGAAAACAGACACACAGAGAGGGAAGAACACCATGTGATGACTGAGATAGACGTTAGAATGATGCATCTATAAACCAAGGAATGCTAAAGATTCTTGGTAACTGCTAGAAAAATAGGAAGAGGCAAGGAAGCGTTCTTCCCCAGAGCCTCCAAGAATATGGCCCTATCAGCACCTTGATTTCAGACTTCTAGACTCCAGACTGTGAGAGAATAAATTTCTGCTGTTCAAGTCACCCAGTTTGTGGTACTTAGTTACAGCAGCCTGAAGAAACTAATTACATTTGACAACATATTAGTTTGAGTTAAGACCAACTTAGCCTCAATAGCATGTAAGACTCTGCTCCTATACAGCTCCATTCCTCCTCCTTTATTTTGTTGTTAACAGAAATTAACTCTTTATATATACGTTGCCATTAATGTACATTTACAAGTATTGTTTTATGCATTTGTTTTTTCAAATCATATAGGAAAAAAGGAATTATAAACAAAATAATAATACTGAATTTTATATTTACTTATGTAGTTATCTTTACTGGTGTTCCTTTTTCCTTTGTTTGTCTTTGAGTTACTGTCAAGTGTTTTTTCATTTCAACCTTAAGGAATCCTTTTAGCATTTTTTGTAGGACAGGTGTACTAGTGGTGAACTGTCTCAGCTTTAGTTGGAAAATCTGGAAAAATCTTAATTTCTCCTTCATTTTTGAAGAATAGTTTTACTCAATATAGAAGCCTTGGTTGATAGCTTTTTAAATATTTCATCCCAGTGCCTCTGGCCTTCTTGGTTTCTGATGAGAACTTGGCCACTAATCTTATTAAGGATCCCTTGTACATGACAAGTCTCTTCTTTTGCTGCTTTTAAGATTCTTTCTTTGTCTTTTTGCAGTTCGATAATAGCATGGCTGTCTTTGAATTTATCCTACTTTCAGTTTGTTGATCTTCTTGAATGTATAGAGTCATATCTTTCATAAAAGTTGGGGAGTTTTCAACCATTATTTCTTTATGTCCCCTCATTTCTTCTGGGACTCCTGTTATGCATATATTGGTCTCCTTGGTGGTGTCCCACAGGTCTCCTACGTTCTGTTCATTTTTCTTCATTCTTCTTTTTGCTCCTCAGCCTGGATAATTTCAATTGTTCTGTCTTCAAGTTCACTGATTTTTTTTCTTCTACTGCTCCAGCATGCTGCTAAATCCATCTAATGAATTTTATTTATTTTTTGGTTTTATAATTTATTTGTTTATTTTTAAATCAATAAAGATGTAAAAAAAATTGAAGTATAGTTGATTTACAATGTTGTGTTAGTTTTAGATATACAGCACAGTGATTCAGTTATATGTGTATATATATATATTATTTTTCAGATTCTTTTCCATTATAGGTTATTATAAAATATTGAACATAGTTCCCTGTACTATACAGTAGGTCCCTGTTGGTTATCTATTTTACGTATAGGAGTGTGTATATATTAATCCCAAACTCCTAATTTATCCCTCCCCTCACTTTTCTCCTTTGGTAACCATAAGTTTGTTTTCTATGTGTGTGGGTCTATTTCTGTTTTGTAAATAAGTTCATTTTTTTAGGGTTCCACATATAAGCAATATCATATGATATTTGTCTTTGTCTCTGACTTACTCACTTAGTATGTTAACCTCTAGGTCCTATATGTTGCTGCAAATGTCATTATCTCATTCTTTTTTATGGCTGAGTAATATTCCATCGTGTGTGTGTGTGTGTGTGTGTGTGTGTATGTATATAACACATTTTCTTTATCCATTCATCTGTTGCTGGACTTGTAGGTTGCTTCCATGTCTTGGCTATCGTAAATAGTGCTCCAGTGAACATTGCGGTGCATGTATCTTTTTAAATTATAGTTTTCTCTGGATATATGCCCAGGAGTGGGATTGTAGGATCACTGAAATTCTTCCTGTCTGGGGCACTTTTGAAATTCCTGCAAAAAGGATAGTAGCTGCCCACACCATATCTGTTTTAGATGCAGTTATATTGCATTAGAATGAGCCCTGAAATGAACAGGGAGACATTGTCTACTCTTCTAGATTGGTAAGAAGGGGAAGCAGCCTAACAGCATTAGAAATATCTCTGGCCTCAGAGTTCAGATACTGGCTCTGCCACTTCCTGTGGTGTGATGTAAGGCAAATCATTTCTCTGCGCCTTGGATTCCTCATCTGTTGGGTGAATAACTTACCCTGGTTTGTCTGGACTTTCCTGGTTTTATCCCTGAAAGTCCTGCATCCCAGGAAGCCCCTTACATGCAGGGAAACCCTACTCATCTGTGAGATGAAGGTAATAGTACCTACCACAGGGTGGTTGTGAGGGGTAGAAAGAGGATACAGGGAAGCACCTAGGGCATGGTTGGTTCCATAGTCATTTAGTTGTTACTTATGCAAAGTGCAGAAGACTGGGAATGATGTACCAAACAGCTAAAACACCGACATGTAGACTTGCTTTCCGGAGGCACCTAAGAACAGAACTCTGAGAGTTTTCTGTTAGTTCTACTTAACAATTTCTGCCAGCTATCCCTCTGGAAACATCGCCGTGTGTCAGATCCCCACGTGCTGCAGAGGGAGAGCCATCACCTGCCTCTTTAATGACACACCCAGCTTCTCCTTCCTGGCCATGTTCAATGCTGAAGGCCAGGGCTGCGTTCACTACAACCTGAAGGCCCGGTGAGTCAGTTGGGGGAATCTTGGCCCCATGGAAGTATCTCTGAGGGTGACAGAGTGGGGCACTGAGGTGCAAAGTAGGAGCCCCTGGGAAAAAGATGGACCATGCAGTGTCCAGAGATCTAGGAAGACGGTGTGGCAGGGCCAAAGCAGTGCCTGTAGGGACACAGGTGCTTTGAGGCCCTTACTTGCTGGATTCATGGCGTACCCAATGAGAAGGGAAATTCCTCAAGTCCTACTCCACTTGTTCCCCCCAGAGCACTAAGATCTTCACTGTTAGCTAGATTCATGGAAGAATTCTTTAGGGGAGAGAAGTGTTTTATACTAGGAAGCAGTGAAGGAGAGGCCATGGGTAGCACATATTCTTGGTAGCCAAATGTTGATTTTGTCCGATTTTCCTAAGGAACTGTTCTAGGAGGGATTGACTTACTTTCACGTGACAGATGTTCTGTTTCCCATTTTGGTGCCTGAGATCTTATATGCTCAGGCTCCTGGGCTGCGGGCACACGTTCCATTTCTCTCCCCCTTGGGTTAGGCCTGAGCCTCCACCATCTCCTTCAGATCTGACCTTCCCAACAGACTCCCCAGTAGCATCAACAGGTGTGAAGGGACATCAGACCATGTTAGGTGGGGTAAGTAGGGCCACCTGCAAGAGTCCACAGTTCCTCCAGCTGGGGCAGAGTCTCAGAGCTCTGCCTGCCTATAGCCTGTAGTGATGGGGGCTTCCTTCCGGGGCCTGGAGGAAGCTCCTCATTTATGTATCTCTCCTAGCTGCCCATACGTCTTGGTGTTGGATGAGGAAGGTGGGACCACCAATGACTACAAGGGCTGTGTAGTCCACAAGTGGAGCTGGATCTCCAAGACGGAGACTTTGCTCTCTCTGGAATACAAGGTAGGGGTGGGCAGCAGAGGTGGGGCTTGCCACTGGGCTGTCCAGCATTAAGAGCCAGAGGACTACCTGTATGGCAGGGGCCCTAGCCTCAAGGAGCTTGTAATATCAGAGGTTCCCACGTTGATGGGCAGTGATCCAGGGCTGGCTGAAGTGAACTTTTCACCAGCCTACAGCAACTGTTGGCTGCTGTACTGACCTTTCTTGGTAATATGCTTCCTGTTTTATTTGTATTATTAATGATATTATATTTTATAGTTAAAATGTCTTTTATTTTAGGAAGTAACTGTTACAGTAGTTGATAGTTTTATTTTTAATGCCTATGTGTGGCAATAAGAAAAGTAATTCTATGTTGGTCTCCCCAGTTTTTGTTTTTATAGTTTTACTATCTGTGAAACAAAAAAACCTGAGAGGTAAAGGAAGCTGATGGACACAAATCCTTTTTTCATTCATTTGGTTGTTCAGCTATTCATCAAAGAGTTATTAAATAATAAATGTTTAATTACTAATATTAGGGCTTCCCTGGTGGCACAGTGGTTGAGAGTCCGCCTGCTGATGCAGGGGACACGGGTTCGAGCCCTGGTCCGGGAAGAACCCACATGCCATGGAGCGGCTGGGCCCGTGAGCCATGGCCGCTGAGCCTGCGTGTCCGGAGCCTGTGCTCTGCAACGGGAGGGGCCCCAACAGTGAGAGGCCCTCGTACTGCAAAAAAAAAAAAAATACTAATATTAAATAATAACTTAATACATTTAATATACCAATAAAGCAATTAAGTGTGCTTGTCACTTTACCTATGGCAGAGTTTCTCATCCCTGGACCTACTCACATTTTGAGATGGATAATCCTTTTAATAACTGTGCATTGTAGGATATTTACCAGTATCTCCCTAGATGCCAGGAGTACCCCCTCTCCTAGTTGTGGCAACCAAAAATATCTCCAGACAGTGCCAAATGTCTTTGGGGGGCAAAAATCACCCGTTGTTGAAAATCACCAATCTAGGGGATAGAAAGATAGACAATACCCCTCAAGGAACTCAGAAATCTAGGGGAATAAGAAGAATATGTGGCAGAAAAGTATAAGGGCTGTGAGAGAAGGACAAGCTCATAGGGTTGGGATTCAGAGAAAGATCACAGAACATAGAATCCACCCAAGGTAAGAGTTACAGACAGAAGCACTGTTAGAGTTCATGGTAGGGCTCAAGCATCCTGTCTCATGCCCTTCCTGTTCATCCTCTATGTTGACCACTGGATTCTCATTCTTATATCTCGATTCCTGTAGACCATACCTCTGCTCAGAAACATTCAATTCCTTGAACATGTCTCACCCTTCCTACCCCACTGTCCTGAAATATAATACATCTTCTCTCTCTGCCAATCCAAGTTTTCCCTCCTTCAAAGCCCTACTCAGACCTCCTGTCCTCATGGCACTCCAGTCCACACCCATTTCTCTCTTCTCCCAGTGTCCACTGTCTGGATTAAAAAGTAATCCGGACTGAAATGACGAATTTCAGTCATTGTACAATTAGTCATGTAATGAAGGGGTTCTCAGTTGTGGCTTCATATCAGAATCACCCATGGAACTTTAACAAAAATATAGATCCCAGGCACAGCCCTAGAGAGATTGTGATTCAGTTGGTCTGTCATGGGTTCTGGATTTTGTAGTTTTCACAAGTCTTTCTATTGCTTGACCAGGTCCAAGATCTCCAGTCCAGGAGTGTATTGAGTTATTGCCTTACTATTTAACTTTTTGTAGTCGTATGAAAGTTTACAATCCAAAAAGATTATAAATTGGTTGCAGGCAGACACCATATGTTATATGTCAGTATGGCCAAGTGGACAGAGAACTCTGGGATGAGGGTCTGGGGAGCCACGTACTAGTGTCAGCTTTGCCAAACCCTGGGTGTGCAGCTTTCTGAAAACCACTCAGCTTCTCTGAGTCTTGGTGGCTCATCAATACAAGGTGGGTCACAAGAGCCTCCCTCCTGCCTCACACTGCTTTTGTGAGAACTAAATGAAACAGTGGTGGGGAAGGTGCTTTGACACCCTAAAGTGTTTCAGCAGTGTGTCTTAGTTCATTGTTCTGTTCCCTAGAGCTGCATACAGAAATGCACAACAGGGGCTGGTACAGTCAGGAGTGGCCTGGAACACAAGTGGCCTTGAGTTGTAACATGAGTGTGTGTGCATATTATTCTCATAGATACAGATAAGAAGGAGGGAGAGCATTCTGGATAGAGGAATAGCATCTGTAAAGGCTTGGAGTTGGGACTCAGGGTGGCATTGTTAAAAGTTCACAAGTGCTTCTCATGAAAGAAAAGTAGGCAAGAGCTGTATGTGTCAGGGGGGTGGAGGTGAGAGGCCCTGGATGTCATGCTGAGGAGTTTGCATGCTGTCTTGGAGGCTGCAGTGGCAAGTTTGTTTCTGCCCAGATATTTATTGTTCCCAGCATTTTCATTCCTCTCTGAAAATCCAGTTTCCCTCCGGTATCATTTCTCTTCATCCTGAAAAACTTCCTTTAGCATTTCTTGAAATGGAGATCTTCTGGCAACAAATTCTGTTTTCTTTCATGTGAAAAATGTCTTTATGAAAGAATATTTTTGCCGGATATGGAATTCTGGTTGACATTTTTAAAGATGTTCCACTGTGTCTGTCCTCCATAGTTTCTGATGAGAAGTTTGTAGTTATTCAAATCATTGTTCATTTTCTCTCATTCCTTTCAAGATTTTCTCTTTTAGGGGCTTCCCTGGTGGCGCGGTGGTTGAGAGTCTGCCTGCTAATGCAGGGGACACGGGTTCGAGCCCTGGTCTGGGAGGATCCCACATGCCGCGGAGCAACTAGGCCCGTGAGCCACAACTACTGAGCCTGCGCATCTGGAGCCTGTGCTCCACAAGAGAGGCCGCAATAGTGAGAGGCCGGCGCACCGTGATGAAGAGTGGCCCCCACTTGCCACAACTAGAGATAGCCCTTGCTCAGAAATGAAGACCCAAAGCAGCAAAAATAAATAAATTAATTAATAAACTCCTATCCCCAAAATCTTAAAAAAAAAAAAAAAAAAAAAAAGATTTTCTCTTTTAGTTCTCTAAGTTTGACTATGATGTGTCTGCGTGTGGTTGTCTTCATATAAATTCTGTTTGGGGTTTACTGAGCTACTTTAATCTGTAAATTCACATCCTTCAACAAATTTGGGGAGTCTTCTGCCATTATTTTAGGGGAAAAATGCACTCCAGTCTCTTTCCTTTTCTTCTGAGACTCCAATTACATGTATTTTAGACCTTTTATGTTGTCCCAAAGGTCCCTGAGTCTCTGTTCTTTTTGTTGTTGTTCAATATTTTTCTGTTTATTTTTCAGATTGGATAATTTACATGGATCTATCTCCAAATTCACTGACTTTATTCTGTCATTTCCATTCTGCTGTTATGCTAATCCTGTGATGTTTAAAAATTCCAGATATTTATTTTCAACTTTATGATTTCTGTTTAGTTGTTTTTTATATTTTCTGTTTCTCTGCTGAGATTTCCTAATTTTTCTTTCATTACAAATATATTTTCCTTTGCCTCATTGAGCATAGTTAAGTTAGCTGCTATAAAGCCTTGTCTGGTAATTTCAACATCTGGGACATATCAGACAGCATTGGTTATTTGTTGTCTTGAGAACAGCTCGCACTTCACTGGCTCTTCACATGTTGAGTTATTTTGGATTGCTGACATTGTGGATGTTATGTTTTAGAGTCTCTGAGTTCTGATGTATTTCTCTGAAGAGTGTTGATTTTTTTTGTTTTAACAGGCAATGGGCTTGTTTAGACTCATAATGCAAACTTTGTCTCACCCGCAGTGGGCAGCAGCTCAAATCTCAGTTCAGTCTTCTGTTTCCCTGGAAGTAAACTGCCTCGAGTTTGCACTGCTCACACATGGTTCAGGGATCAGCCAAAGCTGTGGACTGTTTAATCGTAGCATTTGGGACTCTATTTCTCTGTCCCTTCTGTAATTCTCTCCTTACTTTTCTGTGACTGTAGTTGACCCCAGGTTTTGTCCTTTGGTTCTTTGGGCCAGAAAGAACTCATCCCATGTTGATCCTTTTAAGTTTTGACTCTTCGAAATCTGCCTGCTTTTGCTTACTCTTCTGAGCCTTTGGGTAGTTGTTTTTTGTACTTTTTCCAAGTTCTGTGGGAGGATCAGCCGGTTAGGAGCGGACTCAGCTATAGTGGGAGTATAACCAGCTGGTTAGTTTTTAAGCTGAGGGCTGGTATGCTCCATCCAGCATTTATGTGGAAGGTTGACTGGAGAGGGAAAGATCGGCAGATGGGGCTAGTTGAAAGACTAGTTAAGGAGTTACTAGCCAGACTTGACATGATGGAGGGTATTAGTAATATTTTTTAAAGGGGCCATTTCAGTAAAATAAATCAGTGGCATTCAGAAATGGGGATAAATGAGAGGAGGAGGGAATTATAGATGACTCCACATGGAGTGTGTGTGTCTAGGTGGAAACAAAGCAGTTTCTGAGGGGCTCAGAGACCCATATGGTTTTGGATGTGCTGATTTGGCTCAGTGGACATCTCTCTCTGGACAGGGATCCTCACCTAGAATGAGACATTGGACATGATATACACGTGATATACATGTGGCTCACGAACTCCCAGGAAGATGAGCAGTGGCTGAGTTCATAGAGCACCGTCGTTGGGTCATTGGGAAGAGGAACAGAAACCACCCAGGGGCCAAGATAATTAAAAACAGCTCTACCAAGCTAAGCCCTTTGCTTATTTTATCTGTGAAATCTGCTTAGTGCCCCAGAGAAAGATTCTGTTGTTGTCCCCCGGCTCAGAGAAGCTAAGCAACCTGCCTCAAGTGTCCAACCACAGTGCTTGAGCTCCCAGCCCCAGCTCACAGCTCTGTTTTACAGTCTCTAGAGGGAGAACTGGAGCAGGTAGTGTCTCTCTTAAGTGAGAGTGATCTACAAGTTTGAAGATGTCAAACACTTGGCAGGAAGATGGTCATGGATCAGATGTTTTCAGAGTGTGGAAGGGGACTAGCATCCAGGCTGTGGAGAATGGGGAAGGGGCTGGGTGGTGAGGAAATTGAGTGTGGACCTTTGGACCAGCAAGTGGAATCCTAGAAGGAAATGGAAGGAGTGAAGATGGAGAGCACTTTCTTAGGTCCGAGGAGTTCTGGGGCACGTGTAGGTCAGGGGCTGTAGAGCTACAGACGCCCAGGCCCTGGTGGGGCCACTGTGCATAAATAACTCTCTGCACACCTGAACCATCCAGGGCCTTACGTGCGCGTTGCTCTGCCACATCCTGACAATACCTGCTCGTGTTTGGTGTGGGCCTTTGTGGTTTAGAGAGCCACTTCCATAATCTTTATCTTATTTGAACCTAACACGAGCATTTTGACTCTGATATTGAAGATTGGGAGCTTCAGGGAGGCCCAGTGGCTTGCTAACCAGAGGCAGAACTGGGACTCACTCCAGACCACAGAGCTCTTAGTAAGGAGTGAGTTGCTATAAGGGCAGCTCACCCTCCCTGTGTTCTTCTCTGGGACTGCTACCTAGGAAATCCCACCCTTTTGGAAGTAATGAAAAAGGGTGGCTCCTCCTCAGGGGAGGAGTGGTGACCCATTTGGTGACTGCAGGAGAGAGGAATGAGCATGTGTGGCACACCCCTGGCTAGGTTCCCTTTTGCCATCTGCCCACCCACCTGCAGAGGGGTGAGTTCTGGTCCCCCTGCCAAGGTAGCTCTGCGTGCTTTCCTAGTCAGACCTGGTGCCTGGGTGGACCCAGCATCAGATTCAGGGACAGTGTTGGCTTCTGACTCCTATCCAACTCTACCAGAACCAAAGCTGACTCGCTTGTTGGATCCCTGTGTCTCCTTCACAGTTGGTTACAGGTTTGGGTTGGAAAGGGAAAGGGCAGGGGTAAGGAACCATCATTAATTTTTCTGCTTATCCCTCAAAGAAAAATTGGAATTCTTATGTGTTCTCCCTGAAAACAAGATTCTAGCATAATAACCAGAAAGATCTTACAGCTCTCTTAGGCCCAAGCCAAGAGGGGATTTGTGTTTTGTGGTTTTCTGTTGTCCCACCTACCCGGTCAGGAACAGGTAGGTGGGACAACAGAAGCAGGGATCCACTGAGTCCTGGTTTCTTCATCCACAGGTGAATGAGCAAATGAAGCTGACCTTGCTAGGGCAGGATTCTATCATGGTCACCTTTACCTCCCTGAATGAGACCGTAACACTCCCCGTATCGGCCAACAGCTGTCCCCATGGGTAAGGCACACAGACCAGTCACCCAGGCCTGACCCCAGAGCGTTTCAACATGGATTGTCACTTTGGAATGCCTTTGTTCTTCCTGCCTCCCCTACCCATACAAGGCCCCACCTCTTTACCTGTCTAATGGACTTCTACTCATCATTCACTGTCTGACTTTAGTACCACCTTCTCTGTGAAACGTCTATCAAGAGTTTTTCAGGGGCTTCCCTGGTGGCACAGTGGTTGAGAGTCCGCCTGCCATTGCAGGGGACACAGGTTCATGCCCCGGTCTGGGAAGATCCCACATGCCGCGGAGCACCTGGGCCCGTGAGCCATGGCCACTTAGCCTGCGCGTCCAGAGCCTGTGCTCTGCAACGGGAGAGGCCACAACAGTGAGAGGCCCGCGTACCGCTAAAAAAAAAAAAAGAAACTGTATTGGCTCAGTAAACTGAAAAGTCAGTCTGTAGATAGGCAGCATCAGGCATGGCTGGATCCAGGCCCTCAAAGTATTCCATCAGATCTTCCCATCTCTTGGCTCTGCCTTCCTCTTTGTTGGCTCTGTTTTCTGGAAGTCTGGAAGAGAATAGTTGACATTCACCATGAGACTGGGGTGGCCATGGACTCCTTGGTGGCACTGGCCTCTGGCATTACACACAGGTGATTGGCTCACTCAAGAAGCTTCCTTGGAGTGGGAGCGGGGGGACCACACCTCCCAGTCTTCCCGGGGCCAGTCCCGGTTTACGCCTATCAGCCCAGGAGTTATTAGTAGCATCCCTTTCACTCTTAGAAGTGTCCCAGTTTGGCTGATAAATTATAGTCACTCTGAAGGAGGCGTTTGCACTGTGAGGGCGTTTGCCACCACATGCCAAAGGCTCATAGGCTCGCAGGGCTGACAGAGCCCATAGGAGCAGCCAGCCCCATGTCTCCCCTTTACATGGGGACACGCGAGGTTGGCATTTGTTGGAGACCCATGTTATCTAAACAAGACACAGAGAACACCTGTGTTTTTCCTGGAGGGAAGAGTTGCACCTGTTTTTTCCACTGCTCTTACATTTCAGCAACATTTCAACTTCATTAGTTGATTAGCTAATTCAATAAACATGTATTAGCGGGCTTCCCTGGTGGTGCAGTGGTTGAGAGTCCGCCTGCCGATGCAGGGGGACACGGGTTCGTGCCCCGGTCCGGGAAGATCCCACATGCCACGGAGCGGCTGGGCCCGTGAGCCATGGCCACTGAGGCTGCGCGTCCGGAGCCTGGGCTCTGCAATGGGAGAGGCCACAACAGCGAGAGGCCCATGTACCGCAAAAAAACACCCAAAAACATGTATTAGCACCTGCCGTGTGCCGGATTGGCTGCTGGGGATGTCGAAGTGAAAGAAGCCTCACTCCCTCTAGTCTCTGAGATACTTTCAGTCTAATGGAAGGGGCAAAAGCATCAACACAGGTTTGTGATCCAGCTTGACTGGTGTGGTGTGCGGGAGAGAGGGGCGCTGAGGGAGCTGGTGGGTTCGTTAAAGGGATCTCATTGAGCACCCAGGAAACTCAGATGCCAGTGACTTCAGCCTACATTCCTCATGCCAAAGAGCAAAACAACGCCAGGATTTTGAGTCCATCAGGGCTGAGATGACTGCTGACTGATGAGTCCATTCCGTCAATTTGTATGACAATGAGTCCATTCTGTCAATTTGTATTTTTAAAAATGTGCGTTTACTTATCCAAGGCAATAGATAATAGAAAAATTTTTGTTCACATAAAATTGCAGTAATGCTTCATTTTTCTGGCAACCTCTTGTCTGGTAATCTCTGAAATTTGGAATATGGCTAAGAACCAAGACGTAAGCAGTTGAAGGCCCCCATGAACAGCTGAGAGAAATCGCTCTAAGTTCCATGTACTGAACGTGTCCTCTTGGCCTAGGAAAGCCCCTCAGTCGTTCACATCTTATGTTTTCTCAGCTAAATGCAGCCTTAGAGAGCTAGAATCAGAGGTCCAGAGCTGTGCTGTCCAGTATGGTAGCCAGGAGTCACAAATGGCTATTGAGCACTTAAAATGTGACAATTCCAGGCTGAGATGGGCTGGAAGTGAAAGCACACGCTGCATTTCAAAGACTTAGTATGAAAAGAGAATGTAGCATTTCTTATTGATCATTTATTTTGATTACATGTTGCAATAATCATATTTTTGATGTATTAGGTTAGATAAATATGTTATTAGAATTAATTTCATCTTCTGAGAATGTTTTTATCTATTTATTTATTTTTGGCTGCGTTGGGTCTTTGTTGCTGTGCTCAGGCTTTCTCTAGTTGTGGTGAGCGGGGGCTACACTTTGTTGCAGTGCGCGTGCTTCTCATTGCAGTGGCTTCCCTTGCTGTGGAGCACTGGCTCTAGGCGCACGGGCTTCAGTAGCTTCCCTGGTGGCACAGTGGTTGAGAGTCCGCCTGCCATTGCAGGGGACACAGGTTCATGCCCCGGTCTGGGAAGATCCCACATGCCGCGGAGCACCTGGGCCCGTGAGCCATGGCCACTTAGCCTGCGCGTCCAGAGCCTGTGCTCTGCAACGGGAGAGGCCACAACAGTGAGAGGCCCGCGTACCGCTAAAAAAAAAAAAAGAAACTGTATTGGCTCAGTAAACTGAAAAGTCAGTCTGTAGATAGGCAGCATCAGGCATGGCTGGATCCAGGCCCTCAAAGTATTCCATCAGATCTTCCCATCTCTTGGCTCTGCCTTCCTCTTTGTTGGCTCTGTTTTCTGGAAGTCTGGAAGAGAATAGTTGACATTCACCATGAGACTGGGGTGGCCATGGACTCCTTGGTGGCACTGGCCTCTGGCATTACACACAGGTGATTGGCTCACTCAAGAAGCTTCCTTGGAGTGGGAGCGGGGGGACCACACCTCCCAGTCTTCCCGGGGCCAGTCCCGGTTTACGCCTATCAGCCCAGGAGTTATTAGTAGCATCCCTTTCACTCTTAGAAGTGTCCCAGTTTGGCTGATAAATTATAGTCACTCTGAAGGAGGCGTTTGCACTGTGAGGGCGTTTGCCACCACATGCCAAAGGCTCATAGGCTCGCAGGGCTGACAGAGCCCATAGGAGCAGCCAGCCCCATGTCTCCCCTTTACATGGGGACACGCGAGGTTGGCATTTGTTGGAGACCCATGTTATCTAAACAAGACACAGAGAACACCTGTGTTTTTCCTGGAGGGAAGAGTTGCACCTGTTTTTTCCACTGCTCTTACATTTCAGCAACATTTCAACTTCATTAGTTGATTAGCTAATTCAATAAACATGTATTAGCGGGCTTCCCTGGTGGTGCAGTGGTTGAGAGTCCGCCTGCCGATGCAGGGGGACACGGGTTCGTGCCCCGGTCCGGGAAGATCCCACATGCCACGGAGCGGCTGGGCCCGTGAGCCATGGCCACTGAGGCTGCGCGTCCGGAGCCTGGGCTCTGCAATGGGAGAGGCCACAACAGCGAGAGGCCCATGTACCGCAAAAAAACACCCAAAAACATGTATTAGCACCTGCCGTGTGCCGGATTGGCTGCTGGGGATGTCGAAGTGAAAGAAGCCTCACTCCCTCTAGTCTCTGAGATACTTTCAGTCTAATGGAAGGGGCAAAAGCATCAACACAGGTTTGTGATCCAGCTTGACTGGTGTGGTGTGCGGGAGAGAGGGGCGCTGAGGGAGCTGGTGGGTTCGTTAAAGGGATCTCATTGAGCACCCAGGAAACTCAGATGCCAGTGACTTCAGCCTACATTCCTCATGCCAAAGAGCAAAACAACGCCAGGATTTTGAGTCCATCAGGGCTGAGATGACTGCTGACTGATGAGTCCATTCCGTCAATTTGTATGACAATGAGTCCATTCTGTCAATTTGTATTTTTAAAAATGTGCGTTTACTTATCCAAGGCAATAGATAATAGAAAAATTTTTGTTCACATAAAATTGCAGTAATGCTTCATTTTTCTGGCAACCTCTTGTCTGGTAATCTCTGAAATTTGGAATATGGCTAAGAACCAAGACGTAAGCAGTTGAAGGCCCCCATGAACAGCTGAGAGAAATCGCTCTAAGTTCCATGTACTGAACGTGTCCTCTTGGCCTAGGAAAGCCCCTCAGTCGTTCACATCTTATGTTTTCTCAGCTAAATGCAGCCTTAGAGAGCTAGAATCAGAGGTCCAGAGCTGTGCTGTCCAGTATGGTAGCCAGGAGTCACAAATGGCTATTGAGCACTTAAAATGTGACAATTCCAGGCTGAGATGGGCTGGAAGTGAAAGCACACGCTGCATTTCAAAGACTTAGTATGAAAAGAGAATGTAGCATTTCTTATTGATCATTTATTTTGATTACATGTTGCAATAATCATATTTTTGATGTATTAGGTTAGATAAATATGTTATTAGAATTAATTTCATCTTCTGAGAATGTTTTTATCTATTTATTTATTTTTGGCTGCGTTGGGTCTTTGTTGCTGTGCTCAGGCTTTCTCTAGTTGTGGTGAGCGGGGGCTACACTTTGTTGCAGTGCGCGTGCTTCTCATTGCAGTGGCTTCCCTTGCTGTGGAGCACTGGCTCTAGGCGCACGGGCTTCAGTAGCTGTGGCTCACGGGCTCTTGAGTGCAGGCTCAGTAGTTGCGGTGCGCGGGCTTAGTTGCTCCACGACATGTGGGATCTTCCCGGACCAGGGCTCAAACCCGTGTCCCCTACATTGACAGGCGGATTCTTAACCACTGCGCCACCAGGGAAGTTCCCTGAGAATGTTTTTGTTTGTTTGTTTTTTGCGGTATGCGGGCCTCTCACTCTTGTGGCCTCTCCCATTGCGGAGCACAGGCTCCGGACGTGCAGGCTCAGCAGCCATGGCTCACGGGCCTAGCCGTTCCGCAGCATGTGGGATCTTCCCGGACCGGGGCATGAACCCGTGTCCCCTGCATCAGCAGGCGGACTCTCAACCACTGCGCCACCAGGGAAGCCCGAGAATGTTTTTAATGTGGCTTCAGGAATGTTCAAAGCCACACATGGAGTTCGCGTTATATTTTTGGTAAACAGTGGGGATCTAAAGGTGGAGTCCTCATTAAGGGAAGCTCGCAGAGGCTGACAGTGCGAAAGGAGGCTGGAAGTTATCTATTAAAAAGAACATTGTAACTCAAAAAGCATAACCATCTTGGAGACATCTAGCGTAGGGATAAACAGACAAATACATTAAAACAGCTTCTGAAAACCACCACATTCTAGAGGATAGTTGTTGATGTTGACCAAGGAGACTGACTTGCCCCAGAGCATCCTCATCTTAACCTCTTCTGTTTGAGAGAGCAGGGTGGTGTACTGTATATTACAACCTTCTGACTAGATAACCAACAACAAATGAAGACTTATTGTGGGTAACAGGATTTCCAAATGTTGACCCTAGCTTCCAGGTTAAGCATCTTGGAATATTTTTATGTGAAATCTCAAGGCTGGCAGAGAGCCTCAGCTAGGAGGTGGCTTCAGGCTTTCCCTTTCCGTGCTGGGCCTCAGTTTCCCAATTTGTGTAGTGATGTGTAAAGGCCCACCCAGCTATCCCACACTTCTCTCCTGGGACTTTAAAAATCCATTCAACTGCAATCTGTGTGTGTGTGTGTGTGTGTGTGTGTGTGGTGTGTATGTGTATGTTTGGAGGTGGTTATCACCCACTCATCAGCAAACCTGTGGCCATCTAGGAGAGCTGAGGGGTGGGAGTAGGGTGGCCTCTTTCCTCACACTCCCTGTCAGTGGAAAACTTGTTAAATGGTTTCCCCAGACACCCATCACCCTAGGAGGAACCACCCGTCAGAGCGACAGGCAGAATGTCAGTCTCAGCTTTTGTAGCCCTGCGGCCAGGCTCCTCACTAAATTTTCTATCAAGGCAGCGCTTTGGAAGCGAGGAAATGCCTCAATTTAAATGCTTTATTAGCCCAGTGCTGCCTCAGATCCTTTTGGGAAGCAAGACTGGGTATAAATTATAAATAAATAAATAAAATTAGCCCAGAGGCAGAGGTTGGGGCCAACAAACAGAAGGATGGTTGAGGCTTTGCTATTAATTGGGGCATCGTTTACAGAAGCCCTGCCTGCAGGACAAAGAGGGATACGTGGCTGACTTTATCGCTCTTCAGAAAGTCTGTCCACCACTCACCCTGCTCTCTCCACCTGAGGCTTCAATTCTGCAGAGGAAAAATTATTTCACACCTCCTCTGTGTGAAGTGGGAGATATAGACTGCGTGGACCCTGCCTTCAGGGCTGATGAAGTTTAGGGATAAAGAAAGTAAAAAGTGACCAGAACCCAGAGCAAGAAGGACAGGAATGAGCAGATGTGCAAGCTCAATGTAGGGAGTGGTTGCTGGTAGCTTAGCAAGTCTGTGATGCCTTCCTGAAGAAAAAGTCACACCCTGATTGCCATTAACTCCAGAATCTGAACCTAGTTCCGCCCCGGCAGAGGCAGAGGTTGAACTGCCGGGCGGCCTCACTGTCCCATAGGAACTCCGGAGCCAGTGTGGCCCTTCGGAGTAATCCTGAACTGAGGCCGGAGGCCTGGGCCTTAGTGCCCATGGGGACCAGTCAGTCTGTGTAACCCTGGCCTAGGGCAGTCTCTCAGCAGAGAGCGGCCAGCAGTGTGAAGAGGGTTCTGTGGGTCGTGCAATAGAGGGAGACAGGCAGCAAACGTCGAGAGGCGTTCGTCCATCCAGTTATTCATAGCGCAACAAGCATTAATTGAGTGCCTTCTGTGCGATGGGCACTTGGACACAAAGGAGACCAAAACCCGATCCTTGTCCTCTAGGAGCTTAGAGTCTGGCTGGAGAGACAGGCTCCCACGCAACTGATCACTTCACAAAGGGCTAACCTTTGTCTTCAGGCTGCAGAGAGAAAGTGGTGAGGGTCCAAGGCAAGGAACAGTTCTGCCCAGTGCAACCAACCTCTCTGGTGGGGGGGACGTTTGAGGTGGGTTGGGTCAGTGTGTGGGGATTCACTGGTCTGAGGGGAGAGAGGTGGGTCCCAGGCAGGAGCGGCACATCCTCTAAGCCAGGGCTTAGCCTTGTGGTCACTGGGCTGGGCAGACGGCTCCTGGCGGGGCAGGTGACAATGCCCTTCCCCTCGGCCTTTCCCCAGATGACCCGCAGAATCAGCAGCATGGATGAAAAGATGTCTAAGATGAGTTGGGCCCTGGCAGAGATCAAGAGGCGGTTTCAGAAGACGGTGTCCCAGTTCATGAACTCTGTCCTGCTGGCGGCAGGTAAGGAGACTATATAGTACGATTATAAATCTTACTACCCAGCGTTATAAATATTTCTTTGTTTTCCCATCCCTGCCCCCCACTCCTGCTTGGAGTTCCCAGAGGCAGGGAACTCCTGTACGGGGTCATCTTTATGACCAGTGCCCAACATTTAATAAATGTTTGGTAAGTGAATGAAGAAATGGCCAGTCTAGCAGAGAAAGCAAAAGAAAAATACAACAAAGAACATAGATGGAAATGACTTAAGTCTGGAGGCACAGTGAACAACACGGATGCATAGTGTACCCAGCCTCTACATTGAGTGCTATAAAGGACACAAAGCTGAATGAAACACAGGCCCGTGGGGGAGGATGGATCAAAGCTGGGTCTTGACAGATGGCCAGAACTGAGATTGATTTGTTCTTCCATTCAGCTAGCACTTACTAATCCACTAGCTGCACTAGGGTGGGAGCACTGGGCCAGACAACACGAGGCAGCAGACTCTGCGAGAGTAATGGCCTGGAGGGGGAGCCGTGCAGTCTCACAGCAGGGCATGGTGGCCAGGCCACGCCGGGGAGTGACACCAGTGTCTTCTGTTCACAGGCTTGTTCACCACAGAATATCCAGTAAAGGAAGAGGCAGAAATCATTCGGACCAGATTAAGGTCCAGGCCCTATCCTGAGCACGCCACCAAGCTGAGTTTATACTCAGGAGAAATCCTTTCATTACGATCTCAGTCAGCCCGACCCGAATCCTCAATTGGAGAGTCTTCGAAGGAGGAGCCTGTGTTGGCTCCTGTGAGCACCACTCGGAAGAAGCCCATCAAGGTCCAGGCCAAGGCCACGGTCACACCCAGGTGGGCTTGGGCCTTCATTTCTTCCAGCTTCTGTGTGTCAGATGCTGAGGTGGGTAGTAAACATGTGATGGTGGACAAAACAGATGAGGCCCCTCCCTCTTGGAGTTGAAATTTTAGGGGTGGGGAAAGATAGAAGATAAACGTGTGAAGAGCTGAACTATTTTAGTTAGGGATAAGGCTGGGAAGAAAGTAGACCAGGGAAATGGGTTAGAGCCGAGGCTGGCAAACTGCGGGCAGGGGCCAAATCTGGCCCCACTGCCTGCCTTTTTTATGGGTGAGCTAAAAGTTGTTTTTACGTTTTTATTTTTATTTTTTTTAATTAATTAATTAATCTATTTATTTACTTTTGGCTGCATTAGGTCTTCATTGCTGCACGCGAGCTTTCTCTGGTTGCTGCGAGCGGGGGCTACTCTTCATTGTGGTGAGCGGGCTTCTCATTGTGGTGGCTTCTCTTGTTGCGGAGCACGGGCTCTAGGCGCGCGGGCTTCATTAGTTGTGGCACGTGGGCTCAGTAGTTGTGGTTCACGGGCTTTAGAGCGCAGGCTCAGTAGTTGTGGCTCACGGGCTTTAGAGCGCAGTCTCAGTAGTTGTGGCTTGCGGGCTCTAGAGCGCAGGCTCAGTAGTTGTGTCGCACGGGCTTAGTTGCTCCGTGGCATGCAGGATCTTCCCGGACCAGGGCTCGGACCTGTGTCCGCTGCATTGGCAGGCAGACTCTTAACCACTGCGCCACCAGGGAAGCCCATTTTTACGTGTTTAAGTGCTTGGGAGGAAGAAAATCAAAAGATGAGTTTTTCGTGACATGTGAAATGATATGAAATTCAAGTTCAGGATCCATAAGTAATGTTTCAATGGGGCACAACCACGCCCACTCATTTACATGTTGTTTGTAGCTGCTTTCCTGCTAAGATGGAAATTTTGAGTCATTGTGACCAAGACCCCCTGACCTGCAAAGACTAGAGTTTTTACTGTCTGGCCCTTTGTAGAAAATGCTGACCGACCCCAGGCATGGAGAGTGACTGGCAAGTGGGGTGGGACTCCGTAGACGGTCGGGGAGGCAGTTCTGAAGAGATACTTTAATGGAGGGCTGAAGGCTTAGAAATAGGCACAAAGAAGGATCAGGAAGGAGCACCAGGCAGAGGACAGAACAAGTACAAATACCTTGAGATAGGAACAAGTTTGGTATGTGTGAGGGGAAGTGAGAAGACCAGTGTGGAGCGTTGTGAGGAAGGCGGAGGAGGGATGCACATTGAGGACAGAAAGGTAGGCAGGAGCTGGGTCAGGTAGCCTTGTGAGTGTTATAGAGGAAGCCGTTCTGTACCTGCGAGGCAGGAAGTGACATCATGTGATTCATGAGGTTTTTAGAAAACTGAAAAAAATGGTAAGATATATATCTCTTGTGTTTTAACTTTAAAAATTTTATAAAATATAGAAAATGAACAAATCCTAAGTTTATATAGTTCAACGTGTATCACAAAGTGAACATACCCTATAGGCCCCAAGAAACGGAACATTATCTGCTCCTTAGACGTTCTCTTTTGTCCCCTCCCTATCAATAATCTCACCCTCCTTCCCAACAGGATGATTTCTCACATCATAGATTTATATATTTTTAAACTATTTAAATAGAACTATTCAGTATGCATCCTTTGATGTCTGGCCTCTTTTGCTCAATGTTACAATGTGAGATTTATCCATGTTGCTGCGTGTGGCGGAACCACTGCTCATTTTCACTGCTATGTAATAAACTATTGTAAGACTAAACTAAAAATTTTTTGCATTCTAATGTTGATGGATATTTGGGTTGGTTACAGTTTTGGTAGTGACAAACTGTGCTGGTTTTTGTATATGTCCTTATTTCTGGTTGGGATATGCCTAGATGTGAAATTGCTGTCATAGAGTATGTGTATGTTATGCTAGATCCTGTAGTTCTGGTGAGACTCCGTTTTCCAAATGGTGGTTTCAAGTTCCACTCCCACCAGCAGTGTATGAGCATTCCAGTTGCTCCACATCCTCACAATGCTTGATATTGTCCATCGTTTTAATTACAGCCATTCCATAATGATGAAATGTTTTTTAATTTGCCTTTTGCCCTGGTGACTACAGAGGCTGAGCACCTTTTCAATTGTTCATTGGCGTTTTTGGATATTCTCTTTTGCGAAGTGCCTGTTGAGTCCTCCTGTCCATTTTTCTACTGGTTGTTTGTCTTTTCTTGATTTATATTTTGGAGTTCTTTATTGTCGATACAAAAGTTTTGTCAGTTATACATGTTGCAAATGATTCTCCCACTTCTACTCTGGCAGTGGTATCTATTGATGCACAGCAGTTGCTAAGTTTAATGTCCAGTTTTCAGTCTTTTTGTTTGTTATTAGTTATTCGTAACCTATTTAAGAACTTTCTCTACTCAGACAACATGATGGTATTCTCCAAAGTTGCCTTCTGTTAGTTTTTTCTTTTACTTTTGCATTTATATCCATCCTCCACCTGCAAATGATTTCTGTGTATGACATGACGTAGGGGCCAAGTTTTATTTTCCCCCACGTATATACTGAACTGATCCAGCATCACCTATTGAGAGGATTGTAATTTTTCCTCAGCTCTTTGGTGCAAACTCTGCCATAAATCAAGGGGCTCTATATGTTTAAATCAAGGGTCGTTTTTCTGGAGTCCCTATTTTGTTCCCTATTTGTTAAAACTTTTACCAACACCTAACAGTCTAGTTGTTATAGCTTTTTTTTTTTTTTTTTTTTTTTTTTTTTGTGGTACGCGGGCCTTTCACTGTTGTGGCCTCTCCCGTTGCGGAGCACAGGCCACGGACGCGCAGGCTCAGCGGCCATGGCTCACGGGCCCAGCCGCTCCGCGGCATGTGGGATCTTCCCGGACCTGGGCACGAACCCGCGTCCCCTGCATCGGCAGGCGGACTCTCAACCACTGCGCCACCAGGGAAGCCCTGTTATAGCTTTTGTTAAAAAAAACTTTTTAAAATATTTATTTATTTATTTAGGCTGCACAGGGTCTTAGTTGCAGCATGCGGGATCTTTAATTGTGGCATGCAGACTTTCTTAGTTGCAGCATGTGGACTCTTAGTTGTGGCATGTGGACTGTTAGTTGCGACATGCATGCGAGATCTAGTTCCCCGGGCCCCCTGCATTGGGAATGTGGAGTCTTACCACTGGACCACCAGGAAAGACCCAGTTATTATAGCTTTATAATGAGTGTTGACATACAGCAGAGTAAGTACTCAGTCTTTGTGTGCTAAGCTGTTTTGCTATTCTTAGCCCTTTACATTTCCATATAATTTTAGAATCATCCTGTAGATTTAAAACATTGTCCTGGGATTTCAATTTGGTTGTTAATGTCTTTGTAATATTGGAGTATTTCAATCCATGAATATGGTATATCTGTTTGTTTAAGTCTTATCTAATCTCTCCGTAATATTTTGTGATTTTCAGCATAGAGGTCTTATATGTCTTTCATTAGATTTATTCTATGATATTTTATAGTTTTGGTGCTCTTATAAATTATGTTTTAATTTTTCTAGTTGTTGCTAGCTATAGAAAGGCAGTTGATTTTTTTTCAGTTGAATTTATTTTTAAATTAATTACAGTAAACATTACTCTTTTTTGTGTGAAAGTCTATGAGTTTTGACAAATGCATAGAGTGGTGTAACCTCCACTGTAGCCAAGATACAGAACAGTTTCCCCACCGACCGAAAAAAAAAAAAAAAAAGAAAGAAAGAAATTCCCTTATGCTACCCCTTTGTAGTCAAACTCTTCCCTCACCTGTAATTCGTAACAACCACTGATCTGTTCTCTGTAGCTATGGTTTTGCATTTTGCAGAATGTCACGTAAATGAGATTATATCATATATAGCCTTTTGAGTCTAGCCTCTTTCACATGGCATAAAACGTGAGATTCATCCATGTTGTTGCATGTATCAATAGTTTCTTTTTTTTTTAGTTAATTAATTAATTAATTTATTTTGGCTGCGTTGGGTCTTTGTTGCTGCATGTGGGCTTTCCCTAGTTGTGGTGAGCGAGGGCTACTCTTCATTGCAGTGCGAGGACTTCTCATTGTGGTGGCTTCTCTTGTTGCGGAGCATGGGCTCTAGGTACACGGGCTTCAGTAGCTGTGGCATGTGGGCTCAGTAGCTGTGGCTCGTGGGCTCTAGAGTGCAGGCTCAGTAGTTGTGGCTCATGGGCTTAGGTGCTCCGCGGCATGTGGGATCTTCCCGTACCAGGGATTGAACCCATGTCCCCTGTACTGGCAGGTGGATTCTCAACCACTGCGCCACCAGGGAAGCCCCTCAATGGTTTCTTTTTATTGCTGAATAGTATTCTGTTTCGGGGAGCCCCAACACCACCCCCACATTTAGAGACCTGTTGATACTAGTACGCATGGGATTCAGCATATAGTTGTCTCATGGATAAGGTTTATTACAGTGAAAGGATACATGATAGGATGAACAAGGGTAAAAGACACAGGTAGAATCTGGATAAATCCATATACAGACTCCCCCATGCGCTCTCCCTCCTGTAACGGGACACACCAAGCGTGCTTCATTCTCTAGCAGTGGAAACTTGCAGTAACATGTGCGATGTTTCTGTCCAGGAGTGCGCATTAGCAACTCAGAGCCCAAGGTTTTTATTGGGTAGCAGTCATGTAGATACTCTCTGCCGAACAAATATCAAAGTTGCAGACTGCCAGAAGGAAAACAAGTGTTCAGCATAAATCACAATATTTATATAAACAGTGTAGGCCTAGTGTAGGAAATGGTTCAAGTGCCAAGTTCCCAGACACCAGCCAGGGGCCAACCTTGTAGGCAGGTCCTTCTAAAGACAGCAGCCTCAGGCCTCCTATGTTAACTCTCTTCTGTATATATTATGTGACATAGGTGGGCAAAAATTTATTCATCCATTTACTCATTGAAAGACATTTAAATTGTCTTCAGTTTTTAGTGATTATCAATATAACTGCTACAAATACTCAAGAACAGGTTTTTATGTGAGCACAGGTTTTCATTTCACTTAGGTAAATTCTTAAGAGTTGGAT